ATATATAATTAGCTTCTTATAGTATAGTTAACGCGTTTATTCGGAACTGTGCGGTAAGCTTTATTATCTATATTTCTAGAGAGTTATTTATAGCCAGTCGAGTAGTAGTAAAAAGACTATCGAACCATGACTGAGCTACTCCCTTTATAGCTCTGGGAAGCAAGCTAAGGATTGTCTTCTCGCTATATAGCTCTGCCATACATTCTAAGTAATTAATATATGATATGACTTGAGTAGTACTATTATACTAGAGGTTATTAGCCTTAAGCTTATTAGTATACTAGGTTCCGGATTATTTTACGGGAGTGCCTTGGCGATATTACTACTAGTACTTTCCTTGGCCAGGTGAATCGAAACGCGTGGGACTATTTCGGAATTATTTCATAAAGGCTATAAACCGGCTAATATTAGTAATATAGCTATTTCTACTCATAAGATCTTATATAGCTCTAGCGTGGTTCAGAGTACGGATCTCCGGTTTAATGACGCGGGTAGTAGCTATAGCCATTATCTTATTAGTATTATTAAAGACTCCTGTTACCTCAAGGTTTAAATGATCCGTATAGACCCGTTCCCAAGCCATTTTAATAAAGGCTATGTTCTTGGCCTATTACTTTATGGTATATCCTGTACTTCCTATAGAAGTAGCTATATTATCTAGTATCTCCGAAGCAGGTATCCCTAGCGGATCTTTTTCTTGGTATCTTTGGAAGGTTTCGGAGAAAAGGATAGGCTTGAGAGGGCTTTTGAGATCTAGATTTAGGCGGACCAGTAATAATTATTAGGAGCGGATAGGTAACGAGTGTATAGGGTTTTGGTAAGGTAGAGAACGCTATCTAAGTAGTAGGTCCTCGGAAATAGGAGATTCGTCTTGTATAGGCTCTTGGTAGTCCCAAGGAGCCGGACGAGGTGTAACTGGGTGAGGGGCGGCTTGAGGAGAAGGCGTAGCGGTTCGAGGTCTCGTTCTTGTGGGTTGAGGAGCTCTCGGAGGGGAAATAGGAACGGTGGTAGGTTTCGGAGTAGTAGGGAGAGCTAAAGAGGGTTCTGCTTGAGAGGGTCCTGCTGGGGAAGGTTCTGAAGGCTCCTTCCGGAATCGGCCGTCTGCTCCTCGAGCTCTGTGCTTTCGATTCTTTTGGTTTCCAGTCGGCATCTAGCTAATCCATAGGAGACGTCGTAGCACAGTGCGCACAGTGTGACTACTAAAGACTATGTGATTCTTCGATTAGTGATTTGGATTCGAATCGGTGGCGGATTGAGAGGTGTGTGGGGGTTGGTTGGAATCGCGAATCTGGTTGCTGTAGTCGAAATTACGTAGGCTCTTGGTTTCCGGAGGTCAAATCAAGAATCAGACTGGCATTGCTACCATATCACGACCCGGAGCGGAAGACCTGAAGGCAATCAGCTCTATTGGGTGTGTATGTAAACGTCTAAAGAGAGAAAGGAAGAGAGGAGCGGGGAGCTCGAGCTAAGTACAGGGTGCCACGCTAGGGCCAGGTCATGTGACGCTGACGTCACAACATGAGCCGATCTGTTCGCTCGATCACCAGGAGGATGTCTCAGCTGAGGAGACTTCGCCTTTCGACGGGCGAGAGCACCTTGATTATCGATGTGGATAGTCTTACTTTTGTGGTCGATAACGAGCTTCTCTGCTGAGAAGTGTTCTGCCGCCCACCAGGCGCAGAAGCTTCCCTGCCTCCATGTTCTTGCTTCCATTTTTTTCAACCATACTGGAACCAATTCTATATTCCGTCAATAAGTGTTCATTTGCTAATAAGCTTATGAACGAACGTTTATTTTATCCAATGGTACCTTCAAATCCTTTGCAAACCGACGCTTTGTTTCCGTGGTAGGCTTTGGATCTTTGATAAACTCTCGTTCTAAGATATCAACTTGATTCTTCCCGAGGTAAAAAGGAACCCGTGGTTTGGTCTGCGGAAATCTGTAAAAGTCATCCAACAATGAGTTGACCTCGTCGTTATCATCGTCGTCATTATCGTCGCCGATGTAGTTGGTTTTGCGTCGTCGACAACGAGCTTCTTTGCAGAGAGGTGTTTTCCCGCCGTAGGAGCTTCCTTGCCCCCTTCGTAATACCTATCGTATTCTCCTTCCTGAAAATATGTTCCAATTTCACTAGAATTCCACGAGGGCAAATATTGGTTGTATTGTGAGTCGAGTGGCTTGCTGGTTTCTTCGGGGTTGCATTTTGTTCTAGCAACAAACGCCACATTTCGGCGCCTTCCTCGGCAGGCCGTTCTGGTGGTCTGGAAACCATTTCCTGGGTTGATTGTAATAATAAACAAGGTAAGAAATCGGGGAGAGGACTTTTCTCATATGTGAAGAAGCTTCTTTATTTTTAAATTCTATCCATGCACTGTTTGTAAACTGCTTCTCCCTAAGTGGATTGGCTTTATACATGTGCTCACACATAGCTCAGGGCCTCTAATTTACAAAGGAAGTTTAGCAAACTAATTTACACAAGCACAGATTTATGTGTTTGATTTGTAAATATTGCCTAATTTAGATTATTCCAGACACTTTTCGAAGCAGGTCCTCTAGTCTCGTCATTATCTCCTCGAGGGAAAAAAGGGGGGCATACAAATGCAGGGTCCACGCATTCTCGCTAAGCCAATAAGCGAGATCCTTAAAAAAGAAAAAAGAAAGTTTTTGCACTGAGAAGCCCCATAATTCATATGAGGTTCATATAGGAATCGAACCAATATCTCCGGAATCAGAATCCGACGTGCTAACCATTCTGGGAGGGCTAGTGAGCAAGAGTTTTGCGAAGTTGAGAGAGACACTTCACTTACACACCACTAAGAGTTGTTAGAGCAGTGCAATATAATTAAGGGCCATTGACGCTTACATGAACCGGTGACGAATTTATCGTCATTGGGAAAATTTTCCAAAAATTCGCTTATTTAAAATTTTATTAATGGTACCAAAAAGTGCCGAAAATCTCGGCTAAGAGCGGCTAGCGGCGGGCCCAAATTCTCTTTAAGTTCAGAGGGACGTCGAGACGGTCTCAACGTCTCCTAATTCCAATGTTCGCAGCGCACAGATAAGAAGCTTGATCATAGGAATATTCAACAATTGATCACACTAAAATTGCTACTGCTGATATTGGCACACGGAACGCGCTTGTGGTCACTAACTAATTTGAGTTCTTCATTGTTCCGCTATGTGATAGAGGCAATCGATGTCAGAGCTCAATGTAAACTTTCATTCGATCAATGATTTTGATAACGGTGATAATTTTCATTCATAAAATCATTTTATCCTCAAGTCACAAACTGCCTCACTTAGCAACGTTACCCCTAATCCATCACTTCAACGCAACTGCCATTCCAAAACATCATTCCAGGTAAAATTGTCCCCTCTGCTTGAATCAACTTTAGCATAGTTGGATCACGACGCTTACCACCATCACTATATTCACGCCAGTAGGTGCGCCACACCCCAGCTATTCGACGGATCTCCTCGAGCAAATGCTGCTCTCCCACCACTATTTGTATCCAAGTGCTATTCTGTCGTTTATGGTATTGATGGACAAAATGGGACCATAAAGCGATTATACTCTTGAAAGCCTTGGTTCTAGAACAAAACTGACACTTCAGTTCCGGTTTTCCAACACGGGTCGACTCAATGACCTCGCTCACGATGTCCTCGGGCTCTAAGTTAATAGTTGCCTCGACACAGGACGTGAGTGGAAGTTAGCACTCGAACGTTGGGTAGGGGCGCTATCGTGGTTGGGGTGGCGGCGTTGTAAGAGGGGCTTGACCTTTGACCTTGAGAACAAAAAAAAATCTGTGAGGAATGCCTCAAATATATTGAAAGCTACATGTGGTATCAAACAAGGACGCTTGTCCGTGTATTTCGTGCAATAGCGGGGAATAGGGAAACCCTCTTGCCGCAGAAATTTTGCCTTGCATGGCACTCTTTGCGATCTTCATTCTCTTCAACACTTTCGAATACAAGATGCGTCAAATATAAGTGGCAATGGCAAAGATGTGAGCCTTGTTTCGGCTTGTATAGACCATTTCCGAGAAAATTAATAAGCTCCAAACTGTCCCCGGGCCAGTGGGTATCTGCGAACCATGCCATTACGCGAGTGAGGGATGTGGTGTAGTCATCGTACTAGTATCATTTGCTGGTTTGAAATCGAAATACGCAATAGAATAGATAGGCTTAGGTCGCTCCGTGGCCAGACCTTCACTCCCCTTATCCAGCACAAGAACTGCTCTAGCACGACAACCAAAGATCCTCCACGTATGCCCTCCGGAGGATATACTCCCATCTTCCTTGGGTCTTTAAACTTGTGTTGTGCTCAGTCAAGTCGTCATTCCCTCCAAGACAAAGGATCTCCTTTGCTTTCCAGATCGAAGGATCCAGACCATCACATGTTTTGGAGCGACGGAGCCACGCTTCCTGTCGCCTGTTTGGCATTGCCCGTTTGCCTTCCAAATCGCGGCGATTTGCTTCGAGTAGAGCTCATAGGGCGTCTGGCTAGCTGGGGGCTGGCCATTTTGGAGATTGGAACATTAAAATTATAACAGCGATTGAATTGAGCAAAAACTAAAAAGAATTGAGATGGAGATCTTCAAAAGAAGCACAAAGACATAGAAAATGGTAGATCATGAAATCGTGGCGGAAATCATGGCCTCTTTGTTCGTTGACACCAATGAAACTGCATTCAACTAATTCAAGTTACTTACGAGCTTCGAATTACGAGAATAAAGGGCGTTGAATAAAAACGAGTAGGCATCAGTGTAGACAATATTTTGTGCATTTGATTTGAATTCCCGTGCAGAATAAATAAAAATGAGGAGAGAGGAGGATTGGGAGGTTAACCTGAAGGAATCTTCAACAAGAACAAGGAAATCCAAAAATCCAAACTCTAAATCCGAAGGGAGCTTTCTTCACCTGAACCTGGTAGTGATAATGAACTGAGCGGACAACTCCAAGAAATCATACGTCGTCTGGTGGCAAGAACACCTCCAAATGAGGCAGGCACCCCCGGTGACAGCGAGGGGCATAATTTGGCAGCCTTCCATATTAATAAGATCTACCTTGTGCGACAACCTTGACAACGGAGTTTTAATTCAGGATCATTAACACACCGATACCAGTTTCGCAACAGAGAAACAGCCTTCAAACATCCAAGACAAGGTTTTGGTTCCATTTGATGATGAAGGCAAAAGCCTCTCTCAAAATGATTTCGTAGGTAACATATGAACAGTGCCTAGACTCCCGGACCAAGGTGTATGTAACACGTTTTGATTGGCCATGATCCAGCTCCTCTCATGAAATAAAAATCTATAAACAAGAAATGTCCGTTGTGAGCGGGCGCGTGTCCAATACCAGCATCAAGAATAATCATAAAGACATAAACGTTCGCTTCACGTATCGCTGCAAATGCACGCAACACAAGATACACCTCTCCCTCCTCTCCCACCAATATCTCTAAGTCCGCAGACCCTCATCCCACTTTACTTCCCGCACACTGATCCGGCTCTGTCTCTTGTCCTCTCTCCCTTTTCGCCAATCCATCTTATCCAGACCCATCTTGCTCAGTCGTCTGCTCCCTTTGCTTTCCTTGCTTTCCTTGCTCCTGCTCTCTTCCTCGCTGTCACTGCCGCCTGCGCTACATTTTGCTGAATATGTGGAGGTTGGGGAGTAGATGTATTCCCCGTCAACGTATTGTGCTTCCGAGACAAATGTGCTGCGTCGGTTGCGCCTGCGGGTGTATCTCTGCTCCAGGCGGAAGAGCTCGATTTTTTGAGATATGAGGTCGAAGATGTTCACCATGGTGAAGGATGTGAGGAGGGTTTACGGTGGTTGGGAGTGAAGCCTCGAAGGTAGGCCGGCGAAATATTCGATCGAGGGTTGGAATCGCGCAATTGGGTTTGGGTGTGCGTGGAAGAAGATCGACTGAGGTGTTCTCGTGTTCGTGAAGCTCCGTCAAGGTCACCTCAAGTCTGGCCGCTTAGGATTGCTTTTCCAGGAAGGAAGATGTCTGTGTATGTTGACAACGGGAAAAAGCAAAGTAAAACAGCGCGACAAATCTCGATCAGATGTCTATCGATAAGTCTTTGGGAATCAGAAACCGCATGGGAGGCATCGCAAAAAAGTAGTCACGACGTTACAAAAAGAAAGAAAGAAAGGTCCCAACGATAAGGGCCAACCCCGTTCATATTAAACCCGTTGACCAGCGCCCGCCCCTCCCAAAGCGGCCTGGCCTCACCCCAGACCCATCTTGACACCCTGTACAATATTAGCCGGTGGTATTGCGCTAGTATCCGCCATCCAGGGCCAAGTGCCCCAGAATAGTCCAAGTCGAAAGTTAAAATGCAACCAAGTGCGCGTTCGGCCAGGGCGTCACCCTGGGCAGCCTATCTCAGGCCGAGAAATCTCGGCCTGCAGCTTGATGTGTCAAAATCCAGCAGGTCGAAAGGGTCGCGCGTTGTCTGTGGGCCGCACGGCACGCACGCTAGAACACGCCATTGAAAAGCCCTGAGCACATTCTCCTGCAGGGAAGGCGACGTTCTCATTGGCCTCCCCGAGAAGGACGGCCCAGCGTCCCGCTCAAAAGATCGAGAGAATGCCGAGGAGTTGGTAAATGAAGAGTTGGTTTGAATTGTCTATGCGCATATGGCTGGTTGGGATGAAAGTCTTTTGTTGAAGCACCTTTTCATCCGACGTGTCTCAGCTGGCGCGCGCCCTCCCGCTTCCAATAGTGGGAGATCCTTCGCAAATCATCCATGTCAACTGTCAAGCTTTCCGTCTCTTATCGTAGATGCACGGTTATCGAGGTGTCAGACGCACACAGAAAAGGCACCTTCCAGTCGTCGGGCCTTCACCCGTTTTGTCAAGCCACCCCAGACCAGGTGCATAAGGTATGCAGCAGGTAAGTCGTGATGTTACAGATCCATCCAATCCCTGCCGGTATATTTGCGGGGCGCTCTTGGTGTCCCTTGCATTGTCGAAAACCTTTCGACCTCACCTCTAGTAGGCATTTCTCATGCGCTTGAGCATTCTGAATGCGAATAATCTCTGGCAAACCAAGTGGCTAGCATTGCTCCTCAACCTTGACATTGCAACATAAGCACTCATCTCATTCTCGTCATTGTATGGAGCGTACCTGCTTGATCAGAGAGGAGCTATTTCATGGCATCCTATTCGTAATATTTGTTGAGCTGAACGACATTGATGCCAGTGAGAACTTGTAGATTCATCATGTCCCCAAATGCTGTCTAATGGATTCCGTGTTGCTGAGTCCAGCTCAATGTCCTTTCCATTTTCTCTTGATATAGACCGCTGGATCGAGCTTTTCGGCTTCGCTGGTGTAAGCGTTGGACGAGCCGTATTGAACTTGCCCGGATCCAGAACGAGTTCGTGTTTCCTGAGGCGTTGCTCGGCTTTTTCTTAGTCTGCGTTCAGCTGCTTAGTTGGTAATGGTCAGTAGCAGTTGCGTCGACCGTAGCTGAGCAGCATTGAATGACAAGTCTAGCTTTCGACTTTAACTCCCACCCATCATCCATTATATCGCGACGAATACCTCTGGGAAGTGGAAAAAGAGTGAACCCCTAGACACGAGTGTTGAACAGCGGAAGTACTGGCCAATTGGGGTGCGTCCAGAATAGCCTTTCCTCATGAAAAGAGACTTAGATGCCATTGAAATAATGATGTGCCTCTCCCTATATTGTGCTTCTTTTGAGGTCCTGCTGGCGTGCCTTCGCATTGCAGTTTGGTAGCCTGGCTCCACAGGGCGCCGGCCAAGCATCACGCCGATGGGTTGGCTTCCAAGATCCGAGTCAATCTCGTACAGGGGACAGATCCTAATAGTGTATTGAACGCTTTCATTTTTAAAACTGCAGATGTATTGAAATGAAGTCGCAAGATGCGGCTTCACATCCCTCGTAGAAGCTCGGTAGTTGGAAAACAAGGGGCGATGCATGCAACTGGCACATGCAAGCCTCGCCAGCGGAAATGCTGGCACCCTCCACTTGGAGGTACAGTCACGATAGGGGCGCCTTGATGGGGCTGTAGAACCGGGTTGGGTAATTACATATATCATGCTTCTTCAACGCTTTGTTACAACAAATGGCTCTGATATCGGGCGCAAGTGCCTTCATGCAATCCAGCCATTCAGATGTCGGTATTTCCTCGCACAGAGCTCCATTGCTACCCGAAACGCTGGTAGCCGTCCATCTATGTGCCCTATGCCCTACGGCAGACGTCAGTGTGCTGCTGGCAACCTTTTCCCGTGTGACTACGATGCAGATACATTTAAGGTATCCTCCCGAGTATCGTCCAGGGTTGCGAGGTGGGATATAGCAGCTCTGTCCCCGCACAGTCAAACTGGGGACTTTTTGTTCGCCACTTTCAGAAAGACAGAGCCCGGGAAACTTACCTATGCCTAGTGCAAGAGAGTGTAATATTCTGGCTGCTTCCATCTTTTTTCTTGGGACGCCCTGCTCGTGTGGTTATGAGTCGGAGCACTGCCGATGTTCTGTGGTTAGTGAGTCATTTCGAATATTGCCGCTGACATTAATCAGGTGGCGGCTGCATCGTAGTCTGCCTGGTGTAAGGAAAGCGCTCTTGACTTTGGCTATCTTCCTCCTCGATGCCATCTGTATATCCAGAACTGGTATACCGCGGGCTATGAACACCTGCGTTGCAATATGCGCGTAGCGCAGTGCCAACCCAGACGGGGTCTCCAGGATCTCCCATTCCCATGCCAAAGGTTGGTGGTCGTTGTTGTCTGGTCAGTTCTCGAGCACGCTCCGCTTCATCGACGTCTCCTTCGAAGAGCAGGTCAGCTAGATGGACGGATTCCCGAAGTTACCAAGTCTAGCATACCTTGATTTCTCTTTCGTTTTCCACCCATAGTGGGGTTGTCGATCTCCAGGGGTGCGCCTTTCAACCAGTTTCGTCCAAAGCTTATATCTGCGCGCATGTGATCCTCCTCTTCATCTGAGACCACACGAAATATGGTTGGATGAGTCCTGCCACTTTCTTGCGGCTTGTGCCACACCAGCCTTATCGTATTGCCACTGATCAGAGACTGGAGCCCACGGCTTTCAAGTGCTGACAAGCAGATTTTGCTCTCTTCGTCCTCGCTGTGTTCACAACCTATGGGCTCGGATTTCATAGAATTGCCTGATCCCTGGATGAGAAGAATAACGGTTTTCTGGAGAAGATTTGGGTCAGCAGACAGAACTTAAGGGTTATGACTTGACATACTAGGTTCGACGCTTGGGGGTCGGTCGTGTAGCGGGGGAAGGAGGACTCGGATTCGGGAGACGGTGGCAGATTCCCTTGTTTAGGAACTGGTGGAATGGTCCTGGGTATGGATTTCTGGACAAGAGCTGTTGTGTAACGTCTTATTTCATGTTCAGAGGAGTCCACCACGCTCCCATCGAAGCCAGACTCGATCAGATGTTGCCGACGTGATGGCCAGTCTTCGTGTGGATTCGACAATGCCACTTCCCTTACAGCGACCTCCAAGTACTTCGGCAGCGGCATTATCCCATTCTGCAGATGGTTGCAGCCGTTGTTACTGAGTCATTCCGATGATGTCGCAATTCTTGGTAGAGATGTAGTAGGGACTCCCCCCGCCAAGAAGCTGTTGTTGTCCGGTGGGCGTCGATTATGCGGAAGTGAGGCAACGGTATGTCAAACCCCTAAGCAATACAAAGCTCAAGTTGACGTAAATTTCTGGGAGAGAGGAAATTGAGCTGCTTCCACGACCTTTCCAATCGCGATCAGGGCGCTGCGCATTGCAGATAGATACAACCACCGATTACGGGAGACTGGAACGCAAATTAAGACACCCCGCGGCTTCCCGCCAATGGCTGGAGGACTTCAATTCGTTCCAATTGTCCAATTGCTCCACGAGGCAAGTAAGGTCAATAAAGAGTTAAATAACATAGCTTTCATACAGCAAGGCCAACTTATCTCCGCGCCTGCCAAAAGTTGGTGAGTTAGCCCGGAAGTGTGTACCTAACTGACGCCCCTTATTTCAGCGACTGTTTTCGGGTACTTCCAAAGCACGAAGGACCACACAACGCCAACACCAATGTATGTGAAATTCATTCCACCCTGCTGTTCTTAGCTTTCCCCTTCACCGTCCTCACTTCCTACCTGGCGCTTGACCTACGCTACGCTGCCCTGACGCGGTGTTGGACGTCTGATTTACCTTTCTTTGCGCTAATCTTTTGCTCTCCTCTACTGCCTTCTCTCTTTCTCGCTTCATGTACTCTTTCTCTTCTGTACCGAGAAGATGACTCGTCAGTGGCGGCACTCAAACTTGTTTTCTCTCATTGAAGAGTTACACACCTTCAGTAGCGTTCTTCTTCGCTAGAACCCACACGGTCTTGTCAAATTTGAGGATTCCTTCTTCGTTGAGGAGGAGGTGACTACCGAGGACGACATCAAAGGGTGCGCATTTATTGGCGATTCGGAACTTGCTCGTGCGAAGTTTGCGATTTCCTTGGGCAGCACACCAAGGTATCTCCACCATTTCAGTCGATTTCACTGTCTTTCCGCCGAAGTCAATAAATATAGCCTCACTTGTTTGGATCCTCTCCCCCAAGGCAAGGGTTGCCAAAGAACTTTCGCATATCCAGTTGTCTAGCGTGCCGGTATCAAGAGTGGCCGGAAAGGGGTGCCATTTATCTTCAGTTGCCGAATACATGCTAACAAATTGTAGGCATGGATTAGAGTCATATTCCTACTTGAGAATTTAGTGCTGTTTACAATCTTGGGTGGAGCTGTATCACTTTCACCAGGGCGACTTCGGTCTCTGTCGCGTGGTTTGATGGAACTGGTTCTGGAGGTTGAAAGAAGCTGGGGCCGGAACCTGACGATGACGATTGGTAACTTGTCGGTCGTCGCGAACGATATCTTGCAAGTGGGTCGAAGCCACCATTCTGTTGACGTTTGGCAATCCGCTCTCCATGGTTGACATCTCTGGGAATGCCCGAAAATAGGAATCCCAGCTCCTCAAGTCGGATTTTTTTAATTTCCAACTCCATATCTGCCCACTCTTCGTCGGTCATATCTCTATAAGTTTCTTCCATTTTGTGTTGTGAAGTAAAGCAGCCCTGTTCGGGAGTTGAGCAGTTTCTATGAAATGGCGGTGGTTGCGCAGCAATCCTTCTCCGAACGGGCAGCAATGGGTGGTTATATGTGGTTTCAATCTCAGCGTTATGGGAATTGGCGCCCAATAGATGGTTGCGAACCATCAGTGCCATTTGGCTGTCTAGCCTTGACTCCCATCCGTCTCCAGGAACATTATAAAATGCCATTGAAGACCACAGTTGACAGCAAGTATGCTGGTAGCGGAGCCTTCTCTGGTCCGCAGCCTTGAAATCAAGACAATTATTCCATTCAAGCTGCGAATGTCTCTCTTATGAGGAACAGCGACGTACTAGAGCAGGCTGATTTTACATGTTGTCTAGCAAAGTCTTTTTTTGGGCATTCTCAGGAAGCTCCGATATGCCGACACCGAGTTGCGAGAAAGGTGGTGCGGGTGGACAGGGAGCCTCGTCAGCCTCACTTTTCTGCAAGGCAGATTTAGGCCCCCCTACAGGAAGAGGCAGGTCAAGGACACTTGATAATCCGAGCCGTCGTCAATCACATGTTGGGCCGCTACTACAAACAACATTCCCCTCAGCCGACTCCTTCAAATCCTTCAGGGCCTGGAAATTGATGTCCATGATGGAAGGATATCCGGCCATAGCTCAAATCATGAGCAATCACGATGAACTTGCGATATTCCGTCGCTTTAAAGAGTTAAATACGCTGAACTTACTTTATTCGCAAGCGGAAATCATACATCTGGAGGCGGAGCTCAAGAGCCTATGGGAGGTTGACAAGTCACACCCTGAAAGAGACTTCCACCACCGGGACTGGTGGTCACTCGCCTATTCTCAAGAAGATGGGAACAAAGAGCAATGGCAAAAGGTCTTGGAGATAAGAAAAAAGCTGGAAGCCTACAGTGGGTTTTCACATTCCCAAATTTAATTCTTCATAGCTCCAATTACTGCTTTTACCCTCTCGATATCAATAATTCATCAAGGGCTAGATCTCAGCGATGTATCTCCTACTACCCACATCCAGCCCCTTATCCTCACCTATCATACGGTCAGAGATTCTCGGCAAACACAACTTACTTGTGACGGTAATAGATAACCGTCTTGCCCAGCAGGTATTCCTGTCTCGACTTGAGGCACCAAACCCTTATGATCTCGCCTTCCTCCGAGATTGGTTTGAGCGGCCCAACATGGGGAACTTCCCATTACGTGGTCCAGATCAAGAAGCTTGGAACAAGGAAACCGAAACCGACCTGCTTGCAACCCGTCGCCGAAGCCATGAAGATCCGTTCTCTAGCTGGTTCATCGATACCGTGATACCAAAATTCCATCGCGTGTTTGGGTCTCGCATTAAAGTGAGTGGTATTCCCTGGCATGCCTCTCCTCTAGTTATGACAATCGCGGACCTAAGTATCACTAGAAACCTATACCAGAAGCTCCACTCTCAGAGATAGCCCACTACCCAGAGAAGGCACTCCTGACAGTAGTCAACATCCTCGGAACGCTCATAGCCTCACTCTTGCCCATCGTGTCAATCATCATTCTCTACTTTATCACGAATAAGGTCGTTCAACTCGGCGTCGCAGTGGCTTTTACAGCCACGTTTTCTATTTGCCTCATATTGCTTACGCAGGCGAAGAGAATTGAGATCTTTGCTGCTACTTCGGCGTAAGGCTGCCTTGTGGTTTACCTCTTATTTGAGAAAACTGACGGATGGGTAGTTTTGCCGCTGTCCAGGTGGTTTTCGTGGCAGGAAACGTGGTTGTCTTGGGATAAACGAAGGTGCAGAATACTCTCAACCCATGGGGTCGGTAAAGCTTCACTAGCAGTTTGAGCTTATGGGAGGCTCTTGAGTGTTATAAGGGTGGTTGAAGGAGGGATTTTGTAATTTCTGCTCCATTTGATTAAGGGGATATGAGCCGCGGATGAATTAAATCGGACCCATCTCTAACTCATCAACCCTCCTTGCCTCATAAAAATCCCGAGGTAACAGGGAGTGAGCTGTGAGTATATGAATTCATCCAAATCCTGATATGCACCTTTGCGGCGTCTTCTGTCTCTATGGTATCAATACAACTACTTGTATCCTGTCACATTTCATCGTTATTAATCATCATGATCTTGGCCTGTTTTCTCTCTCCTCCATATCGACATCATCGATATCAACCTCACGTTCCACCTCGCCCTCTTCATTGAACAAAGTCTCTTGCGCTGTTACTAGAGTCAGAAAGAGTAAAAGGTGGGGTGTAAAGGGTACTTACCACTCCAGAGCTCAGAATATAGCCCGCCAGTATCGATGAGCTCGCGATGTGTGCCGCTTTCGGCAACTTGTCCTTCCTTGAGGACAATGATCTTATCGCTGTCATAGATAGTCCTCAACCGATGAGCAACAAACACACTTGTTCTTGCCTTCTCTCTTAAGATGCTGTTGATGTTTTGCATCAGAGCCTGCTCTGTGTGGGTATCCAGCGCCGAAGTAGCCTCATCGAAGAACAGCAATGGTGGATCCTTCAAGATCAATCTCGAGACTGCTAGACGTTGCTTCTCTCCACCCGAGATCATCATGCCTCGTTCTCCTACCATTGTCTTGTAACCATCTGGGAATCCAGAGACAATGTTGTGTATCTGCGCTCTTTGAGCAGCAGCTTGGACCTGCTCAGGAGAAGCACTCATATCACCATATCGAATATTGTGTTCAATGGTATCGTTGAACAAGGGAGTATCCTGAGGAACGACACCAATAGCCTTTCTCAGCGATTCCAAGCTAATTTGACGGATGTCCTGGTCATCGATGAGAATCCTTCCTTCTTGAACATCATAGAAACGGAACAGAAGTCGCAGGATGGTGGACTTCCCGCATCCACTGGGCCCAACAACGGCAATCTTCTTCCCAGCTGGGATAGTAAGAGTGAGATTCTTGAGGATTGGACGGTCTGTGTGATATCCGAACGTCACGTTCTCGAATTTGATCTCTCCACCTTTGGTGAGCTGTAATGGCTTCGCATTCGGAACATCCTTGATCGCCACATTGACCTTTTGAAGGTTGAAGAGCGTCTCCATGTCCAGAAGAGATTGTCGAAGCTCTCGATAGACGGAACCCAAGAAGTTCAACGGGAGAGAGAGTTGGAACACAAGTTGATTGACCATGACAAGGTCCCCAACTGTCAGGTTCCCACTGGCAACACCATCAGCAGCCAGATACATCATTGCCGTCAAGGCGCTAGAGAATATCAGGTTTTGACCACTGTTGAGGAAAGCTAACGAGGTCGCGACCTTGATTGAGGACTTCTCATAAGCTTTCAACGCCTGATCGTATCTTGCAACCTCATACTTCTCATTATTGAAGTATTTGACGGCCTCATAGTTGATCAACGAGTCGACTGCAACAGTGGATCCTTTGTTGTCTGCTGCATTGGCTGCTCTTCGAAACTTGGTTCTCCATGCTGTTGTCCAGATCGTAAATGCGGTATACCCCACCATGGTCAATGCTGTAATAGCAGCGAATTTCGCTCCATAGTGATATGTCAAGAGGCCGCAGACCATCGATATTTCCAGAGCTGTCGGTAAGACGTGAAAGACCATGGAAGTCAACAGGAAACTGATGCCTTTGGTACCTCGATCAATAGCTCTCGTTAGACCTCCCGTCTGTTTCGTGAGATGGAAATTTAGATCCAACCTCAACAGATGATCAAACACATTGCAAGCCACCCTCCGAATGGCCTTCTGAGCAACACTAGCAAAGACCGCATTCCTCAATTCTGAAAAAACAGTTGCCCCAATCCTAGTGAGTCCATATGCCAAGATCATAGACCCAGCGACTGTGGTAGCCGTGCCTCCCACAGCCACAAAATCGATATTCATTGAATCAACAATGCTCTTGAAGTAGAACGGCACTTGGACATTCAGTACTTTGGCTCCGACGAGCAGGCCCAATGACAATCCCACCCGGAATCTTGTCCCCAGACTGTCCTTTGGCCACAAGTACTTCGCCATCTCCTTCATGATAGCCCAGTCAGCCTTCCGCTGCTCCTTGTTCGTCTTGTCATCCAGAGCCAGAGGATCCTTTCGTGCTGTGGTAGTGAAGGCAGGTGCTGCCTTCTTCGCTGTTTCTGGTATCTTACCAGGGATATTATCTGCGGCTCTTGGTTCTCTCAGAGCTTGACTCGGTATCGTCGTTTGTTTTCCCTCATCTTTGCGGAAGCGACTTGTGCTGGTGAAGACCCTCAATCCAAGGGTGGGTTGGATCCATGGGTGGAGCCGGAATGAAGCTCTTGCACTCAAGCAAGAAGATCTATGTAGACTCCTCACAATCATTTTCACCCAATTTTTAGCCCTCCTATGGCTCTGAAATCATTGAAACCGCCGCCCGCATCGTTTTCGTGCTCGTTCGCGGAGAGCTTGGAGGGGTTGCTTCGTGAAGCTGTTCCTCGCGTCAAGAGAAGGCCGGAGATCGGACTAAAACCCAGAACAGGTAAAGAAGAGCTGGAGACAAGGCACACAAAGTACGAATCGCGTTCCGATGTGCGATCAAAAGGATGCGGAATTCGTTTACATGGGGTTGATGTTCACAAGCTTACCTATTGCGCAATCAGGAACTCAAGCCTTAGGCCAAAATAATTCTGTGAGGCAATTCTTGAAAGCTCATGATTTCGGACGTTTTGATATTGGCATCCACCAACGGCAACAGCAGCAATGCGCGGTCGAATAGCGTTAAGAAATGTTGCCCGAGGCTTTCGGCAGCTTCGACAACCAGGTGCTGGAGCTCATTCCCGGAGAGCTATCCAGATCAGCGCAACGCCGACGACTGAGTCTCCCATACTCACTGGAGATGTTCTGGGAAACTCAATTGATGCGTCGACGGATCCTGAAGGTGAGGAAAAGTCTCACTTCTGGTTTGATAAAGCCTGCTGATACATGGTAAACAGTAGATGCTCGATTCGAAGTCCTTGGCGCGCCATACTCTCTTTTGTCTGTTTCGTTATCTGCCTCACAAAAACTGTATACTAGGAGGGGCACATTGGTTGGAGTCAGTGGGAAGGCAGAAAATGTAATTCAAATTCCGAGCCCCATACAATTCGAAGTGATTGCTGATTCAAGTCCAGGCACAATCCACGTTATCCATCTTAGAACCCTTTCGAAGAGCAGCTCTTGGCATCCCATTCCTTTACCAACGAATCTCCTCCACAAGTCCCATAACAGCCCTAATATCCACCAAATCGCCACTCACTTCCTTCACTGTATTACATCTTAATGGCACCGTGGACTGGATGGTAGCGCAGCGGAAAGCACTGCTTGCTTGGACTGGTCACACGCTTTCCGTTTCTCCATCCGCAAATACGAAAATGAATCTTGCTCACTGGGGGAATTCACAGATCACAGGGAGAGGTCTGGTAGCGTTGGCTGGCCCAGGACAGATATACCAGGTTACGTTGAGGCAGGGAGAAGAATATGTTGCGCACCCGGGAAATGTGGTTGCGTACACGATCACGCAACATCCACCATTGCCATACAGATTCAAGTCATCGAATCTCAGATTGCAGATCCCAGATTTAGGGCTCGGGTATCTGGTGCCAGACATCAAGTTCTTCAGAGTAATGCGGCAGACGGAGACGTGGAAATTCTTTACAAAGATGTTGTTCAACTTAAGGACGCAAGCGAGGAGGACGATATGGGGAGATCGACTGTTCTTGAAGTTTCATGGCCCGACGATGATTTTGATGTCTTCGAGAGCGTCGAGGATTAGTGATGTGTTGACCGCCAGGGATGTGAATGAGATTGCGGATACTCCTGCGGGCGTTGTGCAAGAGGCTGTTACGTTAGTCAACAAACCGAAAGAGGATGAGGGAATGATGAAACAGATTTCGGATGTGCCGACTGGTTTCCATGTGGCGGAAGTGAATAGGGATGGGAGTGTTGTATTTGAGGACGCTAAGGATGTCAAGCCGTTTATTCGGTAGGACTGAATGTGTATGATATGAATCAACGGATGAATGTATTATACAAGAAGATCCACCCTGGTTCTTCAGATTTCTTGTTCCTGAGAAGTGCGAATATATGTGTTCAGAAGGTAGCTTTGAGAAGGCAAGGGAGCTCAATTCATCCAGTCTAGTGACTGCCCGCCTCTATCGTCACAATAGCTCAGCCAATGGACACTTATTTCATCTGATCTCAACATCATTTCAATTCACTACTTGAGCGAATTTGTTGCACTTAGCACTCTACAAGTGTTCCTTTCCCTCACTTTTACTCGTCCGTTCATACTTACACTCAAGAATTCGATTTTGTTGCATATGCAACAAAACAAAGGGGAGTGAGTGATTCACTCAAGTAGAGCTCGATCTGATGAAAGCTGGCATGAGGCTACAAAGACTCGACATTTCAATGTCCCAGAAATTTCGGAACATTGACTCCTGACTTGCAAGAAAACTTCTTACCAAACGATTCACTTTATGTGTCCTCGGCACAGAGTGAAAGTGATGATACAATCATAGTATTCAATAACCCTGCCCAACTTTCATGCTCTCTGAAACTCTGCTCACAACTGATAGACTCCAATAATCCAATCAATGCTCAATAACTCCAACAATGCAACGCCTCTCTGCCCCCCACACACTAGCTAAGCTTTCATAATCAAACAAGCAACGCACTGACCCCCTCATAAGCTCTCTCCACACTCCTCTTCCCCAGACCAGGTACCATAATCAACTGCTGCAAAGTCCTAACATTTCCGCCCTCATCCTCATTCTGCAACTCCAAAAACTCAACTAAATCCCTCGCCTTCTTCGCCCCAACACCACTCAGCCCCTTAATCATCGCGATATCCCTCGAATTCACGATATCAAGAAGATGTCGCGTTCTCGGAGTGAGAGATCCGTCTGTGTCATCAGCAAAGATCTTGAGTGAGGATTTAGTGGCTGATTTGGAGGGTTTGTGTTTTTTGGCTTTGGAAGACTTGTAGGAGAAGCTGTCGTCATCTTCGTAGTCTTCTTGTTGGAAGACTGCGGACCCGTTGAATTCATCGTCCGAGTCGGCATTTGCTTTTCGGCGGGGCTTCGAGTCACAATCTTCTTCTGGCGCTTCGAAGGCTGTTGGTGGTGAAGGGAGAGGGATCGGTGCGGTGGCTGGTGCTTTTCGGCTTTCTGCGATAGTTGAAGCGGATGCTCTCGCGGCCTCTTCTCTCTTGGCTCGGATCTTTGCTCGAAGGTTCTCGATCTTCTTCTGCAGCTTCTCTTGCCCGGGGAAGAAAGGTACGGCAAGTTCGTACATCTTCAACGCGCTAGAGTCTTCCCCTCGCTCCTTGTGTTGCTTGGCCATCAGCAAGAATCGGAGACCTTCTGCTCTTGCTTCCTCGGCCTCGCCACTCTCGATCTTTCGTTCCAAGGCTTCAAGTCTCCGCTGAACAGCTTCGCTGATGTCAGTTGGCGGCTTTGGTGCAGGCTGGTCTAAGGCCCGATGTGCTAGAGCCTCTTGCACCTTCTTCTCAATCATTTCCTCGATCTTGGCGGCTGATAATTCTGCGTTCGATCGGACTCCTGTCGGATTAGGCCGAGCCATCTTCGTGGGGCGTGAGTTAGGGTTGGAATCCGAGGGTCTCTTGTTAGTTGAATTTGTTCGTCGAATAGACTGCGGTGCTGTACCAGACGAACGTGGACCCGAAGGCTTGCTTCTATCAGAGTAAACCGAAAATGCTTTTGCAGGCTTGTCTCCCTTTTGAGATGCTCCATTTACGTGAGTATTGTGAGCGTTCGCTAATGGTCTCAGTGGTTGACGCTGAATTGATGTTCCCGTGATGGACGCCGTCTTTCTTGGGGGTTGTGTAAACACGACTTCGTTCTCTATCTCGCGGACCTCTATTCGCTTTGCCCTTGAGCTAACGTTGAGACTCGAAAGAGTGTCTAGGTGATAAGATCGTAACGGCGCTAAATTCAAAATCATGATAGTGATACCGTTGTTCTGGCCTAGGCTAAGGATTCTCGTCATCTTGCTCTCTCGATAACTAAAACATCCGTTAGCTTGAGCGTCCCAACTCTGGCACCTTTCACAGCAATGATTGGGGGGCTTACGGGATTCTCTTATCCCCACGTCCAATAGCATCAATACACGAGCTCAGCACAAATAAACTCTTATTAATACTCGCCGACTCCACCAATCTCTCCTTATTATTCTCTGTCCGCCGATTGTCCTCTGAACCAGCCAGGTCAATCGCCGAAGCCGTACTAATCAAAGTCTCATCCCCGTTCGTTTGAATAACCTTGACCATCAAAATAGCATGACTCCGACTGCTCTGTGCATTAAGCTTCGTTCCTGCTGTACTCCGATTATTATTCGCCTCGATGTAGAGTCGCTCGAAGTCCTTCAAGTCATCGCAAGCTCGTTCCGATAGACCTACGACTACTGTCTTGCCGTCCTTCTCCCGGAGAGGTAATCCCGCGAGAGAACGCTTATCTGGTGGCTCGAAAAGGTCGTAAACTTTGTCGTTGTATATTTCGTAATACGAGAGCGTAACTGTGACTTCAGTCTCACCTCCAGAATCCTTCGTGATCTTCTTCCCACGTCGATATATGCCACTCAGCAGTCGAGGAATGACGCCTCTCTCCGCCAGCTTCAATCCACCTCTCATGGTATGTGTCTTCCCTGTTCCTGTAACGCCGTATGCAAAGATCGTAACATCGAGACCTTGGAAAAGAGACTTCAGATGGGGGGCAACTATTTTTCTGTAAGCGCAATCAATTATGGTGGAGACAATCCTCGTACCTTCGTTCGTGAAAAGCTCCTCTTGCGTGGTGTCCATATCATAAACGCCATTGAACGAGAAACTAAACTCCTCTGCCTCGTTCTTGGGATTCGGTATCCGCACAATGTTCATAGTCTTTCCATCACCGCCACTTTCTGCACGCACAATCGTGTCTTTATCCAATTCTTTGTCGAGGAGCGGGCGGATTCTTGCGACCACTGCGAGCCTGTCAGTACAAAACAGCGACGCGCCTTAGAGGATTGTTTTACCTCGGACAGACATTGTGGGCCAATTAGGAGGTATCAGGAAGAGAAAGAATTGAAGAGACGCCTGCAATGGAAAATTGAGTGTGTGGAGACACTTGCCCACTACTCCGGGAGTTCTTGGTGGTTCGTCGGGGTACCGGAATCGAGGTCGTGATGACACTGTTTTGCGAGCAGTTGCCATGACAACGCCAAGTTGGCGCTTCCTCGTCAGTTGAGTTGAAAAACTGAGAACTACAACCCAACCTTAGTTGAACATGTCCGGAACTATTTTCTCAGAAAAATCGAATGGCATTTCAAGGCTTTGCATCTTATTCTTCCTATCCTTGGCGAACCTCACAGCAGAAATTTGTCCTAGAAGCATCAAAAAGCAATTCGAACGCAGTTGACCATGTTCAAAGAGACTATTTTCCTCCATGGCATGGTTTCATATGGAGCGGGTATGCATGGATGTCAGGATGTCCCCAAATTTTCAACTCCAAAACTTCATCAGTTTAAGTTTAAGATTACAGGACCCTGTGATTTTGTAGACATTGCCGCATTGAACGGCTTCTGTCGTTATCAGGTGATGCATTCCCTCTATTGGGCTTTGAATGGGACTTCAAATTAGGCGGACTAGATGATATCTGAACGTTTAATATAGCCTCAATTCGGATTGAACGTAGCATCCCAACCCCATACTCCACGTTTTCGTCGGCAATGGTAAAGGATACCGACCTATCTCGGTAATAGTAAAGAACTCAAACCTATACAAAGTTGGTGGCGTGCATTTTTATCGACTTAACCGCAACTTACCAATGTTCAACAACCGAAGTTGTAGGCACCCTCTCAATTGCACGGTGTTTGAAGATGACCGGGCTCTGGAGGTATCTGCGGTATATCCTGACCCCTTGCTGCGAAGTTTTGAGACGTATGACACTTAAGCATCCCTCGCATGTGTATAAGTACTAGTCGGTGGTACCCAGTGTGTCAAAGGATTAATCACGTTAATCAAATTAATCAATTAATTAATCAATTAATGTGATTAGATTATGATTAATGTAATTCATATTTTTTTTGATTAGATTAGAATAATTAATCAGATTAATCATGATTAATCTGATTAATCTGTCACGTGACTATAGTAAATCACTGTTTACTTAATAAGTATTAAATAACTAAGGCACCTATCAGGTAGCCCTAGTTAAACTAAGCCAGGGCTTATATAATAGTAGCTATATACTAGCTTTTAATAATAATAAACTAGTTATTCTCCTACATTCCTCCTTTTTTAATTTAGCTTCGGGTCGCTTACTAAGCATTGCCGCCCCTGATTAGTATAGCGCGAGAGCTAGAGCGGGCAGGAGCGTTACCATATTAGGCTAGCACGGTCACGTGTATGATCACGTGTGTATTAATCAGATTAATCAGATTAATCATGATTAATCTAATTAATACGTGAATAGAATATGATTAATGAGTATATTTCGTGATTAGATTGGATTAATGGCCATTAATCTAATCTAATCTAATCATTTGACACACTGGTGGTACCGGCGCTCTCAAATTATAATAACCCTCGCTACTGAAGAAATCTTTCGGCTCCCAGGGGAGATCGACAGGGTCTTCTTGGAACCAGGTGTTGACAAGGTTTTGTACGTTCCCCTGATTCCCTGCGCTGCTAGAATTACCCTCACCGCCAATGGCCGGTTGCTTATGGATAGTGCATCCTAGACATTTGCACTCGTATGGACAAGGACAAGCTTGCGTGTCTCCGCCGCAACCTTCTGATGTAAACGGGTAGTCAACGAAGAAGAATTCAGTTGCTGATAGTGATTGCTCTTCGCCGTTTTTATAAGTCGTGCTTGACAGCGTGTGTGCTGTTGGTGACGAGACAGTGTTAACTGGGAGTGGTTGAGAAGATATGTTCCCGTTCATGGATGTTTGGGTGATGTTGTACAATTCCCTCGGTTCTAAACTTACAGATGATAGGAGCCTTAGGACGTACTCTAGGCTTGCATCGTTGAACGGATGAGCAGCGCACCCAATACATTGGCAGCCATTGCCACAGCTACACGTATAAACTGTATCAAGAATTTCGGGGATAATAGAGCCATCAAATGGTAGGAGTGGGTTTTGGGAGTAACCATACGTCGCCGGGTATGTGCAGGCCGTAGGCTGGGGACCATGTTGGGTAAAGTTCGTTTTATTTCTCAAAAGCCGGACGATAACTCGCTTGAACATTCCAGGGAGGTCTTCCGGCTCTTCATCAAAGGCCGAGTCCCGATCCCTAGAAGATGACGGCGTAGTCACCACTCTGGCCAATCCCGAGAGACGTCGCCTTTTAATTGAAGATTCTTCGTCGGCATTCTCATCATCCTCCATCCGGAATATCAACTTGCAGTCCGGATTTGAACTGATAAGTGCTTAGATTCCTTCGTTGATAGAAGAGAAAGGAGGATGGAATAACTGACCATTCCACCTGGACACCTTTCTTCTCTTTTGATATGGTGTCGCATTTCGGGCAAACTACACTGCTCCTGCCAGCATCTTTGAAAATCATGCTCATCTCAAACTTCCGTCCGGGCTCGGAGAATTGAGACCACGACCTTGTCCTGGGCATTGTGCCTCTGCTCACACTATCTTCAATTTCGAACTCTCGTTTCTGGACTTTCTTCTTACCAGCGCGTGCCCGAAAGTGGCTGAGGAGGACACTATCAAACATCTGGGAAATGTCAACGACTGGGCGTGATTGTTCAGAAGGATATCTTGCCTCCCAAGAAACCACTAACTCGAGGGGAAGCGGTAGAAGCTTTCCATGGGCATCTTCCAAGGTCATAGGTTCTTGCTTCCAGCATGAAGCAAATCCTATAGGCCCACTTGTCTGAACGCTGACAGAAGTCATCACCTTCTCGAGAGTTTTCCTCATCCGAGTAACTGATGTCTCGAATTCGGCGCTTTAGAAGTTAGTCAGGCGACGTGATTGAAAGAAACAAAGGATAAGTCACATTCTCTGCAGCGAGTTCTTGACTCCTTCCGTATCAGATTCAAGGTCTTGCCGACGGCGCTTTTGAGACACCTTGGCAAGTACGATTCGCTGTTGTCTGATCTCAGATGCTTGACGCTCCAACCCGTATTCGACTTGCTTCAAATAGCACTTAACACTCTCCGAATCTGATCCAACTAGTAGACTATATGACTGAGTGAGTTATGTTCACTTAGAAAAAGGGAGAATGAACCAACGCTGAAGCTGCCTCCGTGGTTTGTGCAATATCGAGATCCTTAGCTAGGTCCAGGGGGGAAGTTGCCGGTCTTTTCCTGCGTGGATTATACTTTATGAAGCCCCATTCTTCAAGCTTGTTCTTGTAAGCTCGGAGACTTATTGATATTAGTCATAGCTAATACTCAACGGAATGTGAGGTAATTACTCACGATGGATTGAACTTCCGTGTTTCATCCAAGATATCTCGAACCTCCTCGAGAGACTTCCCTCCTTTCATGTACAGCTTTTCAATCTCAGCCTTGACCTCTCCCCAGTTATAAGTTATTATGAGGTGTGTTAGTAGTATTCAGCAAGCAATGCAGGGTACGTGAAGGTGGGTCGTCGAAGGGAAATTGAACTGGGCTGCGCGGTAAAACTGATAAGTGCGGCTGAGAAGTAAAATAAGCTAGGCGAGAAGAAATCCGGAAAATGGATGAAATGCGAAGATGAGCTTCTTGAACATATTTGAAAGGGCGAGGAAATCAGTCGGTCTGAGTCTTTGCCGTGCATTTCGTGGTTAGGTCAACTGTTTTGGCTCAAAAATGAAAGTGCTGTTTTGGTGGCGGCTGCTGGCTGCACTCAGCTAGGCCACACGGCAGATCTAGTGCACCAATGAAGCGCATCAAGATGGATGGGCTACAGGGGCGAGTTGCTTCGCTCATAGAGGTCCAATCCTGCAAATCACCAAGTGGTTGATGTCAGGTCGTGGCTGTGGCTGTGAGGTTTTTGCGTTGAAGAAAGGTGCAGTGCGTTGGAAGCTGCGTGCTGCACGCAAGAGCCGCAGATAGAATCACGTAACCATTCTATTGGCCTACGAGGCTGGCTGGCGCCTGGGAAAATGCGCACAGCAAAGTGCAGTTTTCTAAGCCGACCAATTGTGGACGGCGTGTCAAGCCACCGCCCTGTCTGAGGCCAGAGCAGATATTCGTATCACATTGAATGAGAGGTAGTACAACTTAGACGGAAATGTAAAGTGCAAAAATACTACGTCTTGTTGTTGAGCTGGCGGGTTTCGTGGTGGGCCATTTCTCATTCATACCTGGCTTATCCCCGAGATTTCCATTCGTATTAGAGACGGAAACCCCAGGTTTCCTCCGACTCCTTAACCCAGCTCTTGATCTTTCGTCAAGTATATAGGCAACTCTCATTTTGAAGCCAGAACGTTTTAGGGAATCTGCCATTGCTTCTAAACTTCCCCCACCTCTATCGACCTTTTCGACTTCTTCGGCTTTGACTTTGATGCCGGTTGCTGGTGTCTCTAGGCACATAAAACTCCGGCCCTTGATTTGTGAGTTGCACACTTCTTACCAAATTGCCAGGTTTTTTAGTCTGTACTTTAGAGGTAGGATATTGACTTGTGCAATCCGTACACAGCTCCAATGAAGACCACCGAACACGGCGAAACAAAAGCTCTGTGCAAAACCTGCACGGTCCGAATGGCAGCAGGCCACAAGTATGTTGAAGGGTTCCCCCTTCACCCTCAAAGAACGGACGCTTCGAATTCGAACACTTGTTCCCCCACGCCGACCCTATATTCAAGCATCGACTCAGACCATCGACAACAATCGTCCAAGTCGAGCCAGACATCTGCAGGCTCTGGGCACGTCCTCCCTCCCGCCAATGTCAACCATCGCAGTGCCTATATGACGAATGTAGACATCTTGCACATCGGTGCACAATTCGCGCACAACTTTATGGAAGGTCATAAACACATTGATGTTGCGGACGGGCAAGCCTAGGATTTGGCTTGGGGATCGTGGAGGAACTCGGTCCTGGAGGAAGAACACCACTGGGTGATGGCGCATAGAAACCGCGGGCGGGGCATTTACGCATAAAAGGGGCGAATGGTGGAGCGATTCTTGTGGTGTGAAAGTTGCAACATGATATGTTTTCTGTTGAAAGAAGCATCTGACAGTAGGACGGGAGAAGGGTTGCATTTCGGTTAAAGGTGTCTTGAGCTTTCCTAGTAGCTTCAATATGAAATTTTTTGTAGCCAGACACCACACCAATATAAGGTGGCCACCATGTCCAAGACTCTTGGGTACTAGAAGTAATTTTTTATGCTGCCAGCAGACTCGGCCGCAGATGGCTTGTGCAAGGTGGCTCCCTGATTGAAATGGATAAAATAAAACATGGCGGGTGCATCGGCGCGATATTTTTGGGACCCCGAATGGAACTTTGTTGAACGCGTAGAGATAAAATGATTATCGTCTCTCAACTTGCATGTCCTGCGATAACGCTATCCTAGACAGCTGCCACGAGGGCTGATGTTGGTCTTGAGGTCTATGGCTTCGTCCAGAGTGCCAACTCGGGCTTCGCACTTCGCGTCTCGACGAACCTCCGAGGTATACCAACAGCTTTTAACCCGAACTTCATATCCTCCCGCGTTCTGCCCGCGCTGAGTAAGAGAGGCTTCTGGAGGAAAGATTCCGGGCCAACACGAACCCGAGCGTGAGGTGTTGAGCTCTACGTCAAACATTAAGAGCCGACATCGGACTCCCGCAGGCTCACAATCCATTCTTTCGTGCATAATAGATGAAGAAAGCATAAGTTACTTCGTGATAATAGAGCTTCAGGTTTTGCAGAACTCGAGAAGACCACAGCCGCAGATCTGTTCAGACTTGGGGCCACTAGGATATTGAGATGCGTGAAATTGAGAACAGCAAGTTGAAATAAAAAAGCCTTCTCGCAAAATGTCATCTGATTATCAACCAATATACTATAAGGTTGAGATGAAAGTTGTGGTCTGAACTTGCAGAAAGCTTTGACTGGGGATGAGGTTGAAATTCGGTTTACTGGATGAGGATTAGCAAGCGGCCCGTTCACAGGCTTTGAGAGGACTTTACGAGCCTGCGGACATGGGTCTGTGAATTACAGGGCACTTTTCAGGCGTCGCGAATTGAAAGGCGATCAATTGAATTCAATTCTATTAAATAACCACAAAATATAATAATATAAAAGGTAAGCAGTACGATAATTAAGAAGAAGAAGCTATAGTTTATTCTCTTAATATAATTAGAAGAGTACTAGCATCTTTTAAAAAGTTGGAGTTTTCCTTTAGTGGAAGTTGGTCGCTAAAATACCCTATTCCATAGACCCGTGTCCGCAGGCTCGTTACGAGCCCGATCGCATAAGTCTCAGGCTAATTTAGCGAGGGCACCTCCCAAATCCAACAACCCCACAATATGCCTACTACCCCCTCACCACTCGTGTTTAACCATACTCTAGGCTTTGAAATTGCTACGAAATAGAAGGAGGCAATACGGGAGCTTCATGGCTAGAAACAAGTCAACTGGGGAGCTAATAGAGCGCTAACAGCTCGGTAAAACTACGATTTATCGTATTTTGGGCATATAATGTTCCCCTACTACAGTTGCCGAGATAAAAGCAATATTGCTAGAGGAATGGGATAAGATTCCACAAGATTGGATAAATAAGTTGATTTTAAGGCAGAATCATTGGGTTTAGGTGCTAATGGAGCGTTACGGGTAATTAACTCCTAATTAATATAATATGGTTGTGAATTGATTGGGGCGAAGTGTGCCTGATAGCCTGAAAAACAGACTTATGCGATCAGGCTCGTGAGAAGGGGTCATCCACCAACCACCCAAAACCCCTTCCCGCCCACGCCTACCCCACCAAATTTTTCCGATTTTTCAAAGTCTTTGCAAAATTCTAAAAACTTTCCAGATTATAGAGAATACTCGAAATATTGTGAATATCGTGTTAGTTCTTCGAATTTGTAGCGTTAAGGTCTCCAAGATCCAAGTTGAGCGGGAAGGGGGTGTGAGCGATTGGTGAGTGACCCCTTCTGCTCGTTGACACATCTGCCATAGTACAGTTTCGCCTATGGCTGTAGCGAGGAGACCCCCTGTCTTTGACATTGCGGTGCCTCGCACTCGCCTCGCGTCTCTCGGTCTTCGGCCTTTGGCTGCGAAAAAGCGACAAGTGTCTCTCTTCTCCTTATTCAGATATCTTATTAAAGATGCAGTGCCCAGGTCTATGGCATCTGATACGCGCTCAAAATCTTCTTCAAAACTGTCTTTTGCATCTCAGTTGTTCTCGTTAGAAGGACCAAGCTAGAAATCAAAATTCGTTTATATTGCTTTGTTTTGTTGATCAGAGCGAGTCTCTAGCCTCTCCATCTCCGCCGTTAACTCGGAAATTTCTTGCCATCCTCATTGGGATTGTATAAATGGCTACAAATGCCCCTTCTTCTCGTTCTTCTACAGTTGCAGACGGCAACATGGACGACAAAGTTGAATCAGTGCCTTACCATGGCCGCAGGCACTCCACAGAACGGCAATCACTTGAACGAATAGGAAGCCAAAACAAGGAGACTGAAGCGAATATATTTCCAGGACCCGAAGCTGAAGTAGAGGCAGACCTCGAGAACGCTGGAGTGATTCCCAGGTCCGTTGTAGCTCCTGGAGGTGTGAACCCAGCCGACTTCCCCGACGGGGGCCTCGAAGCATGGCTTGTTGTTTTGGGGAGCTTTTGTTGCTTGTTTGTCAGTTTTGGGTGGATCAACTGCATTGGTGTCTTTCAAGATTACTACCAGGAGCACTTACTTACGGGGTACTCATCAAGTACGATATCTTGGATACCATCTTTAGAGTTGTTCATGATGTTCTTTGGCGGCCCGTTCTTCGGCAAGACTTTCGATAACTTCGGGCCCCAAGGTCTCTTAGCTGTGGGCTCTGTTCTCCATGTCCTGGGTCTAATGATGGCCTCGTTAGGAACACAGTACTACCAGTTCCTGCTCGCACAGGGAGTTTGCAGTGCTCTTGGTGCGAGTGCTATCTTCTTCACCGCCATGAGTTCTACAGCCACATGGTTCTTCAAGAAGCGAGCTACGGCTTTGGGCATAATTGCATCGGGATCATCACTAGGCGGAGTGATCTTTCCCATCATGGTTTCCAAGCTCATTCCACAGATCGGCTATCCCTGGACCATGAGGGCTGCTGCATTCACGATCTTGGGCATGCTCGTCGTTGCCAATTTAACAGTGAAGTCAAGATTGACCCCTCGACGAAAGAGAGTCGATGTTATGGAATTCGTACGTCCTCTGAAAGAGCCAGCGTTTGGTATTCTTTGCGTGGCCGCATTTTTGTTCTTCTTCGGGACATTCTTACCCTTCAACTATGTGATCCTCCAGTAAGTCAATCGAGCCCGCCATGCAAGCCTAGTTAACAGATAACAGGGCTCAAAGCCATGGCATGTCAACCAACATGGCCATATATTTGATTCCAATTTTGAACGCTGCCTCGTAAGATGGCCACGGTTACTGCACTTCCAGCTTGCTAACATCTTCCCAGTATTTTTGGTCGCATCGTTCCTGGAATCGTCGCTGATAAGGTCGGTCGTTTCAACGTTATGATAATCACCACCGCCTTCTCCACCATAATTGTCTTAGGATTATGGCTTCCTTCCGCATCAAACGCACCAATAATTGTCTTCTGCGTCCTCTACGGTTTCTCCTCCGGAGCTTTCGTCTCCATGCTCCCATCGATAGTTGCCCAAATATCACCTATCAGAGAAATTGGAGTCCGTAACGGAACGATATTTTTTTGTGTCGCGTTTGCTGGGTTGACTGGAAATCCAATTGGAGGGGCCCTGCTTGCGAATGATCATGGGAATTTTCTATATATGCAGATCTTCTGCGGTGTTACAATGGCGGCTGGGACGTGTACGTTTATTGCAGCTAGATGGGTACAGTGCGGGTTCCAGTTGAAGGTTATATAAGGAGGAAAAGGCAGGCATTGCTTGAGAGTTTGGGTTGCGTTAAATAGGTACAATGTCGGGAAAAAATTGTATGGAGGTATCAGGAAAGAATGAAAATAGATAAAAAGATGTATCTTACTCTTTGCATAGCTGTGGACCTATCCTTCTTCTAACTATTAAGTGAATAGCAATGTGAAGGTGGGGGCAAATGTAAACAAGCCAGCCCTCAATTGTCCGAAGTCAATCTGATACAAGGAGAATGTCAAGCCAATCCCGATTTCCTCTTCATAATCAGACGAAAAGTTACTTTCATCTAATTTTGTTGCCCCCTTGCCCTTGACTGAATCCACCTCCTTCAATTTCGCCGCACATCGCACTCAATTTTCAACAGCGGCAAAAATTGACTCAGCATCGTGTCCACCATCTCAGTTCGCGCTATTTCCTTAGATTCCTATCAAATCCACTACGGGTTTCCTTTATACTCAGGTCGGTCACCATTACGAATAAATTCCCGGCTCCTCTACGTCTCATGCCGTTACGTTGGGGAATTAGGATGGAAGATTGTTGCGCATGGCACTCGATTCCATTTCTTTTTGCCCGTGTCGAATGCACAGCCTCGGAGGTAAATAGAGTTCAAACAAACAGACGGTTGATATCTGATAAATTATGTTTGAGCTCTCGCCTCGCCGCACTCGGCACAACCACCCCCCTTCTACATCCGAAAGGACGAAAATTGAAACTATCAAGTGCCTCACTAATTGCTATCACGCTCCTAGAACTTAAATTCTCCCGTTGAGCTTTTTCGAGCTACAGTAAGAGTTGCCTGGTGATTGGCAAGCGAAAGTGGTAGTGGGTCTTACCCTGGTGAACCGGTTAATTTGCGAAAAATAAGAAAAGAACCTTCCTTCAACGACATCTACTAACTGCAACGTTTTCCTCCAGCTAAATCAAATGCTCGCGCCCCAGAAGCCGTTTGGTCCTTCTTTGCAATATTCTCTTTCATGGTGAATAGACATTCGATCAAGCACAAGACCCTCGCGGACGTCTGACCGCTTCGAAGTTTGCTCTGAGGATGTAGGCTGCTTTAGAAAACTTGCTCGATCACCTACCTATAAGATTGCTCTGGAAGCCGCGATGCTAGAGTTGCAATGGTGTCAAAGCTCCTGATATAACCTTCACATTTACCTGGCAGAAAGAGTCATCACAGATGGACTTACAGAGTTTTCTTGCTCGAGGCTGGCATGTTCGTCGATTTGTTTTTTTCTTTTGGATGAAGGCCCAATCGGATGCCGACCTCAATCTCTGGTCGGGCGGGCTTCAGCTGCAGGCCACGAAAAAGAGAGGCTGTCTGCTCACGACGATACCTACTTTACTGGGTTTCGACTTTACACGGATGGCAACATGTCCGCAGCTGAAGCAGAAACGTTTTAGAGAACTTGGGATATCGCGAGATTATTCCCAGGCATTTGGATATCTCCCAAAACTTTTTGTACTTCCAATCGTCACTCCCACCACAGCGCTCTCACGAACTCGGGGATGCAGCCTGAGACATGCTGAAAGCCACGCGATAGCGCCATCAAATCCGCCTTGAGCTGCGCCACTTCGCCCTGCTCATTCATCTGCCACGTCTTTCCTCTTTCAATTCAATCATATCGAACGTTGCATCTTCGCCGACAACGATATGGATATTGCTTCATCTGCTGCTAACGTTGTCGGTCTTGTCTTCAATTTCGCAAAGGCGGCCAAAACGTGCAAGGCAGTTCGTGGCCGTTACAAAGATGCCGCCTTTACGATTGATAGCATTAGGCATCAGTCGGAGACGCTGCAAGCCGCTCTGCACCAACTTGCGAATCTGATGCTCCACGATGCCTCTGCACTCACCTCACAATGGGATAACAATAAGTCTCTGTCCAAGACTTTCGCAGCCACGATCAATGGCTTGGAGCAAACAAACGCAAAACTCCAAGCTGACCTCGAGAGGCTTCACCTTGGGAAGGAGAAGCTAGGACCAACAGATAAGGCTAAGGTTGTATGGAACGAGGATGTGATGCGAGAGCATCAAAGCCGGCTTCAGAGCCAAGTAGGATCCTTGCAGTTTCTGCTCCAAGTACTCCAAGTGTACGTAGATTTGTTTAAGGCTTGAGGAATCTGAGCTGAGCGTTTACAGAGGAGCCGTGTCCGAAGTCAAGAAGGATATCAGAAGTTTGGAGGCCGCCCTCATCCAAGCTTCTGTCTCTCCGGCCGGGAACCAGTGCGATCCGGCTGGATATGCGCCAACGCGCCAACATCTCATATTAGATGACCAAGAAGACCTTTTAGGCCTGGAGTTGTCAGAGGAGACGGCAGGAAAATCTTTCGCTCTTCGAAAACATCAATCCGTCCATTTAGAGTTGCTTGAAAAAGAATTTTCTACCGACTGCGATGCTACGACGAGCGCCTGCCTCATCTCAGATTCTACTTTAGCACCTTCGTTACACGTCGACGAGATTGGAAGCGTGGAAGACCCGCTCAAGGACGCCGAATCCGTCGAATCCTCGCCTGTCTCGCAGCAGCTGCAGCCGGGTGATGGAGATAGTTTTGATAAGGGTATCAATTCGACACCCGCCACCAAGCCTCCTCCAGCGATAGAAGTGGCCGATGATCCCAAATTGGACCCCGATACAGACATCCCAGAGTTGATTAGGGAAGTTATCAGAGGAGATCTTGAGAAGATCTCAAATTATCTGGATGCCGGCCATGATGTCGATTCTCGCCATCCGAAAAACGACAGAACTGGAGCGATGTTTGCAGCATTTCTGAATCATTCCAAGGTTTTATCGCTGCTATTGAAAAGAGGTGCGAATGCTGCTGCCATAGACTGCGATGGAAGAACGGCTCTACACTTTGCAGCGTCAGAAGGGTCCTGTAAGTACATTTCAGGAGACCCTGTTTCTCAAATGTCGTGTCTTGCGACTCCTTTTCCCGTAGGTTGTTAGTTGCGAGACCTACCCGAAGAATTTAATACACGAGCAGAAAAGAGGCAGATGAGTTGCACCCCCATTGGCCCACCTGCATTAGAAGGAGTACTATTTCATTTATTTTACAAAAGTTCCTGGATTGAATTTAGCACAGTCTGACACCCTTTAGATCAATGTGCCAGACTGCTCCTCACGTCAAGGGCCCCCGTAACGAGTCGAGACTTTCTCCATGAAATACCCCTGCATCGAGCGAGCCGATACGGCAATGCAAATGTTGTCAAGTTACTTCTATCCCACCACTCCAATCCTTTAGTATTTGACTGCGAACGAGGGCGAAACGCAATGCATTTAGCGGCTTCACACGACCGGTGTGAGATTGTTGAGCTTCTTTGTAACCACATAAAGAGAATCGAGCATTCCGGGGACTGTTCACTCGCCGGTGGCGAAACAAATGTCTCCTCTCCACAATGTTCTTGTCCGACAATTTTTCCACGCCTGAATGACAAAGATGCTTGTGGTGATACGGCACTCCACATTTCAATAGTTGAAAATCGTCCACGGATAGTCTCTACATTGCTTAGGTTTTCAAAATCGATCGCCGATACGCCAATGAATCACTATGGCACTACGACCAAAGTGCTTCTTAAAAAACCTCAACATTGGTATCGCCCTTTGCATGGAGCACTTCGCGACTTAAAGTTGGTGAAAGCCCTCGTCGATGGGGGAGCGACTGTTGATTTGCCTGATTCCGAGGGGTTGACACCGCTCGTGACCGCGATACACGGTAAAGACAAAGAGGCAGTCGGATATCTTCTAGAACATGGAGCAGACTTCCTCATTTCTTGTTCGAAGCATAAAGAAACGACTGTTCTACAAGAAGCAGCCGATCTCTGTTCTGCCGCTATACTAAACCGGCTTGATACCAAGGACCCGCGAAATGACTTATCCACCAATCGTGGCAGGGCCATCCTCCTCGAGGCTCAGGCCTGTAGAAAATGGGACATTGTTCAGAACTTGATTCGACATTGCCGTGCAAAAGACTGCATTGGGAAAGTTTTGGATGGTGAAAAGATTATTGAATATGCACTTCGTTATTCCACAGTACCGGTTGTGGAATTCTTATTGACGAACGGCGCTAATCCCAATTGTCAACTTTATTATCAGGATGATTATTGGAACTTACCAATTCATGTTGCTGCAGAGGTAAACAGCATCCGAGCAGCACAATGTTTATTAAAACGTGAGGCGTCGTTACTATCGAAAAGTCAAAGGGAGGAACTGCCATCTCAATTCGCGATGTATTTCGCTGGCCCTGAGACGGTTGGCTGGTTTTTGAGGGAAACCATCGCGGCAATCAGGAAACAGACAAAGACTATACACATTGCAGACACGATGACAAGGTTCCTGGTAGAAAGTACAGCACTCGCCTGCCAACAGGGATCGGTGGAGATATTGCAGATCGTCCTCAAGATTGGCAAACAAGAGATTGACGACCTTCCGAAAATGGGACCCTTGCTCCACATTGCAATGCATTGGGGTCGAGTCCAAATAACGAAATATCTCTTGGAAGCTGGTTGCGATCCGACAGAAGCTGATCTGAGAGGGAGAACGCCTACACAAATTCCCTTTTCCGCTTTCAAAGGCCACCACAACGCGCCTAGCAACAGCCAGGAGGATTACCAGGAATGCCTAAAGCTGGTCCAAGAAGCAATCGACCTCAGGGGGACCACCGACACGACGGCTGAATCTACAACTAATCAAATGCAGCTGGTCTCCACCACAACAGACTCACCTACAAGTCGGCGTGATAGAGGAACAGCGGAAGCGCCGCCGAAACCCAATCTAAGGCAACGACCGAAACAAACTGTTGCTCTTGCCCAAGCGTTCGCACCTCGAAGAAGCCGCCGTTTCTTGGGGATATCTATGAAATAAAACAAGAGTCTCGCAGAGAAGGACTCGTTCAGGTCAGACTGCTTGCACTCCAGAGTGATTACAACCGTGCAAAAATCATCAAATCCAATTCCTGAGAGGACTATGGTTGCGATGGGATGAAGCGCTCTGACTAATCCCTCTTGCATCTCTCGAGTCGCGTCAAACCTTTACAACCATCCTCTGGCCACCCGATCCAACGATACTCAGCTTCGTCCCGTAATGCCCGGAGAAATGCAAAATACCCTTCCATTGAACGCCAATCAGGGAGAGAACAAAAAGACATGCGCTCTGCTTTGGTTGAAATCAGGATTGTCGTTCTCGTATCAAGAGGTCCACACTATTGTCCCTGAATCGGTCACGTGCTTCACGGATCACAACCTCTCTCGGCCAATTGAAAGCAAGTACAGAACGAAAGGCTACGGGATACACGAGCATGCCTCGTAATCAATACTTTGGTACGAAAATGCCGCTTGCCCAACAGGCACTAGAAATGCTCCCGTCCAACGCGAGTGATGAAGGCAAAGGCAGCATAGCGGACGTGAATTTGTGCTGCCGCCTGTCTTTAGAAGCTAGGAGGCACGGAAAGACTTCCATTGAGGTTCTTGCCAGTCCTGTCCTTATCAGATCTCAGAATGATGAAATAGAGAGAGTCTCCTTTTTTCGCCACCGCTTGGCATCTCGCTCGGGAGGAAGGTGGTATTTACCCAGAACTTCCGCCGCTGATGGTGGTTTGGAATTGAAATGGCGAAGGAATAACGTAGAGCAGATATCTTTCGGTCCTATTATCTCCCGAGAAGATGAATAATATTGCACTTAAATTCGAGATGGTACAATATCCCTTTCCACGCGGTCCGAAACTCCCAGGCACAAACTCAGATCTGACGGTACAGTAAATGTTTAGATCAGATAAAGAGACGGAAACATTCCCCAATAACAGAAATAATTCATGCACAACTCCATCAATTCGGCCAAACCCCGCACTTCCTTCAAATCGAAAATGGTCATGGGAATAGGGGTGGACCAAAGTCACGTGATATTATCGAGCAACCCCCTTTTCGATCACTTGATCAATTCCACGCTAGGCTAGCTTCAAATAGAGAACGACCCATCTATTAGATCTCAAGGGAGGCCTCACTTGCCTTCTACACCGCTCCAGACGTCCGATCAAGCTTTTTGCTCAGAATAGAGTTTTTCATCGCGTCGGGTGCAGAAAAACTGGTCATCCGCACAACGACCATCCAATGCCAACGTCGAGGAAAAAGGATAAAATCCATCTCCCTCACTCACTCTGCCCTTCCAGATCGGTAATCGTCAAAATAGGCTGATAAGAAAGACCGAGAGATGATAATCCGATTGTCACTGTCGATCCCCCACCAACCCTGTCACCGTCATCATCGCTTGGCGATCCCCTCCTCCATCTGTCACAGAACGACGAAGGACGTCTAGAACCGCCTTTACCCATCCCCAATTTCCCCGCGCCGATCTTGGCCACCCTCAGACACAGCTGTGGCTCGTCTCCCTCACGGTTGTGGCTTGTCTGACGCCGGATCCATGCCCTCCCTCTCCTAACTCGTCGTTGCAGCCTCCTCTTGCAGCAGGACTAGTCTTCCTTCGACTCATGCCGCCACACCCAGCACGTGGAGAGCCACTCCCCTCGCAGCCGTCGCTGCTTCAAGGCAGAGATCGGAGCAGATCGAACCACATCTATCCCACACCTCCCCACCATCAAGCCTCACGCTACTGTAGCACTCTGCAGCGAGCAGGCTCTCACACGAGCCAGTCCGGGCCGGATGTCACGCTGCGTTGCAAATGCACCGTGGTCCACTGCGCCTGGCAATCCGTCACTCCAACCATATCATCTCGTCTTTGATGTTCCTCCCTCCCCTCCGGCCCAACCACGCTCGCAATCGAATCCATAACGAGCGTGGAACAGCCCGCTTCGGCCGTGCCTGACAGGAGATCACCTGCTCGACGTGCAGCACTCGCCGCCTTTCTCGGGATCCCCTGCCGAGGGGAGGTAAAGCAGCAAGGGGAGTCGTTTTGTACGTACCTACGGAGTAACGAGCTGGAGGCGTCAGAGCCCGTTTCCATTAGCGGCTGAACGGGGCTCGCGGCCGGACAGCGTACCCGGGGCCGAGGCCCGAACGACTGGTTCGGGACCAGAGCCGTAGGTTGAGATGGTGACAAGTAGTTGTGGCGTGCTGGGGCCCTTGAAATCGTCGTCTGTTGTAATAATCGGTGCTGTTCTTAGATTAGAAAGATAGAGCGGTAGGTTGGTGTTGGTGTTAGCGAGCCTAGGTCCGTTCCACGTGCTCGGAATGGAGTCGTTTCGTCTAGTTACGACAGCACTCGCCACTTCTAGTCCGCATTGGGGCAATCGACAGTCGATCTTTGTGGCTGGTGTCGACACCTGGGGATGATCTTTATTCTTGGGGAGAGCTGTATCCCTATCAGTCCGGACGATCGGTAGGCAGCTTGCGTGTCCTGAGGGTGTTGTTCAGGTGGGATGTTGTGATTAGGACGGGAAAGGGGTCCAGGCCCAGGGGAGTGGGGAGGGGCCTTGACCAGCTGAAGCCCACTCAGGCACAGGAGATGAAATTAGAAGGGCGAAGAGTAGGGCCGTCCAATTGAGAGTGGTTCACGCTTGGCGTTGGAACCGATTTAGTCGCCGACTCCTGAACCTAATTCATGGCTCGCCGGCTCGGCCAAACACATGTTGAGGGAGAGCAAACGATCGAAGATCTGAATCAATCGCGATTCTCAAGGAAGTGCACAGCATGAGGTGGAGGTTTGAGCTTGAACAGTGTTCCATTTGTGATTTGTTGGGGCAGACACTGCTCCTGGAGATCTGGCTCTGCAGCCATAAACCCAAAAAGACGCCAATTTACCACCTGCCTCCAGGCCTTGTGGTTCCGCCCCCTCTGCAACAGGAAGGAAAGTATTCGTGTGCTTCGTCGCGCCATGTATAATGTCCTCGTCAAAGCGTGTATGCGTCGCTCCTTAAGAGCTAGAAATGAATGAAACACAGCCAAAGCTGCAAAATATGTTCGAGAAAGGGGTAAAAGCAACGTCCCAGGTAAATCCTTCCCAGTACAAGATCTCGACGCACACAATATGATATCGCCTTTTCAATGCAAGACCTCTACACGAAAATTGAAGAAAGATATTGTGAGCTTGTAGTGTTCCAAGGAGAGGAACTGGTATCTTAGAAAGCAATGTGACGCCATTCAAGCAGTCCGCCCATCCTTTAGGACAACATATGAGATCCGTAACAATTACATGAGCATTAGCAGGGCCGTTGGGTATAAGAAGAAAAAAAACCTCCCCTAAAGTAGAAGCAAAACGGTGTTAAAACATTAATCGAAGTTCGTATCCGTCGGTGTGGACCACATTCTGAGCGTCGCCTGCGTTATCGCTGTCGACGACGACATCAACGGACATCTCCCATTCTCGTTTGAGCTGCGAGCTTGCTGAGTTGTGGACTTCTGCTATCTCCATGATGATGTCTTGTCCCTCAGCGAGTTCTCGAATAACGTCGTCTTCAATTACGACCTCGAGGCCACGATCCAGAACATGGAGCGTTCGCATTATTTTCGTCGGCTCTATGTTCCACTTCGCAGCGATGGCGTTGGTGAAGTCTTTCAGAGTTCGCTGCATGAGATATACAGCTCGATAGTACTCGTGCTTCTCTGGTTGATTCGGGTCGCGGTGGAGAATATAGAAAGAAGCAACAGGCTTTATAAGTCGCTGTTCTTGAGGAGGTTTGTAGGAAGAATCGACTCCTAAAGCTTCGATCCAGCCACTGAAATGGCCAGTTTCGTCGGTCTTTGGGATTTTCGTGAGTTGATCTGGAGGACTGGCGAGTTGTTGTGGATTCGATGACTGGACGTCTGCCGGTGCCAATGACTGGAAGTTCTCCCATTGCCCCGGTGCGTTTGGGCCCGAAGTTCCAGCCAGCTGGGATTGTAACGATAGTGAACTCGGAGATGGAGATACTAGCGACGAGGTGCCTGTTGTAGAGCTGCGGTCACTGGTCCTCTGCTGCCATATAGTACTTCCTCTTGAATCCACTTTAGTGAGATCTAGTGGTTCCCCAGCCAGAGCCACAGGGTGAAGATCCGGATCATCCTGTTCAGACCCACGAAGATACAAAATGCTCACCGGCCGTGTGCTAGTAAACATGTCCTGCATGGTCTGCAATTTGAAGTGTAAGTCCTCCTCCATAGGTGGTCGTCCTCCAGCCGAGGACGCAGATGACATTGACCAGGTTCTCTTGTGTTTCTGCACCTTCCCGGGTCGTTGACTTGCCTGAGCCTTGACCGTTGTAGATCCAGTCCGTTTTCTCTTGCCAAAATCCTTCATTCCCGTTTCTGCCTGTGCGATCTGCTGCTTCAATTTGTCGATGGTCTTCTTGACGTGGGCAACATCATTCGAAAGCTTGCGTTCGGCACCGTGATCTCTGAACAGCTTGACCTTGCAGTAAGCAACCTCTGAAAATTCAGGTCCTGAACGTGGTGATCCCGATGTAATCGTCTCGGTTTTCGCGCAGAGCCGAACGGGAATTCCTTTGACACCCTTTGAATGACTGAAATCAGTAGAGAGGAAATTGAATCGGACAGCGATATTGCACTCTGCCGATCCATTCACACCTGGAGTCCAGATGACGGAAAATCCATCAAAGGAAGCAGTGTCGAGATCAACACGGGTCCTCTTGTCGTCGCTTTCCGCTGGCTGATTGGCCTCAACGTACTCGACAGCCTGAAGTTTTCCGCCGCGTTGATGGGCCTCGTTCGTTCCTCGCCCCTCCTTCCATAGCTGCCAGCAAGTAGCCGGGCGTTGTCTTTGCTGCTCGTCTTCGAAGGAGATCCGGACAAACGTTCTGTAACGAGCTCCCGGAGGAAGAGGTAACGTTGGAGCGGAATCCACAATTGAAACGGAATAAGCTTGGCCTTTGTTGAGGTAGGTTACTGGAATTTCGTCCGCATGTTTTATCATTGCCGTTGGCGCATTCAGAGTAACATGGAAGCGGAATTTCTCAGCAGAAGCAGGCATCTGTGCCGCCATAGACATGTCGTATTGTTGTGGTTGGAATGACATTACTGGAGAATGATGCTGAAGTGTGGTGTCCATCGGTCCGATGCGTCCCTCATCATCCATTGGGGAACCGTCGTGATCCATTGTCTCATAGCCCGTATCCTGATGCACAAACGATGATGGAGCAAAGCTTTGCTGCTGCTGCGGTTGCTGTTGTTGTTGCTGGTGGTGATGTGCGTGCTGCTGCTGATTGGGATGGCCAAATGGATTGTAGTTCTGGAAGTGAGGAACGTGGTGGCTGAACGCATTCATGTCCATCATGGTGGATGCGTGGAGAGCATCAGTAGATGTAGGCATGGACAGAGGGGTCCCAAGGCCCATGCTCAGGCCCATGCCCATCCCTGGCGTATGCAAGTCACCAGCTTGGTTGTGATATAAGGTATTCGTGCCTCCTGGTGTTGGGGTGTAGTATCCAGGGGGCTGGTTTGCGAACGAAGAGAAGGCAAAGGAGTTCGGGTCCAGGAGCGAGGGAGTGAATCGCCATGCTTCATGCTGCGCCCTAGGCGTCGGATCGAGGTCTTTTATGTCTTCATGGCCCAGACTGTGGTGCCTAGAAACAGAAGAGGTCAGCGAAGTTCTTTGGAGAGCTGGGGCGCGCCAAATGGCGGTTTTCAAGTGCTTCCTTTTCCACCGTCGTCGACGCTCCGAGTCGCTTAGAGCTCCGAGGTTGCAACAAACCCAGGGAAATGAGGAGATCTACATACCGATCTAGATGGGGCCCACCAGCGACTGCGTCACCGAGGGAGCTATCCCCAGGGCCTGAACCCGCCGACGAGGTCGCGACTGCTACTTCGGGGAAAGTTTGGCGGAAATTGGCGATAAACTCGTCGCCAGGCTTTTGGGACGATGTCCTGCGCGCAAGCACCGTCAGCTCCCCATTCTTCAGAAACAGGCTCCAGGTCACATATCCAAGTCGGATATTGGATGCCTGCGCAGCAAGTAGCTGGCAATACGTGCGCGTGTGTTGTGGCGCCCATGGGGGAAGTTACTTACCGATTTCGAAACATCTGGTTGGAGGCGGAGCTGGCTGCAGCTCACTCATTCAAAGTCGGCAGCTCGAGGGAACTTTGTTTCTCCGGGGTGTAAGATAGCCAAGGCAGGTAATCGGGGTTAGTTGGAGCGTACTTGATCGAAGCATGTAGTAGACGGCCAGGGGGAGGTTGGAGTACTGTAGTAGCGAGCGTGATGGTACGGTACTCTACGAGTGTATGGTGTAGAGTGGCACGGGTGGGGGGGGTGTCGAGGAGGAGGGGGAGGAGGAGGAGGCTGATGTTATATGAAGTGATGGGTGAACGAGGAGAGCAGTGACGGATAGTTCCACTTATGAGCTTGGGAAGACGTTGACATGGGGGTCCATCAGAGCAGACGCAGAGTGCAGAGCCAGCTACGCAATATGGAATAATCGGCGGTACCCACGTACCTCACCAAGAACACACGCACGGCTGCAGCGAACCTTTTTTTTCCCTGGGCTCCCTATATTGCCTAGGGGGCAGTGGAGGTGCAGGGGAGGAGGAGGAGGCCAGAGACTTTTGGGGGAGGGCACCGTAGGGCCACTGGCAAGGGAAGGCGGATAGCTCACGCCCTGGGTGCAGGTGTGCAGCAGAGGGAGCTGGGTTAGGTTGGGTGGTGGAGGCCGCGAGGTCACGACGGGGACTCTTGGACAACAGGCACAGCACCACAGTGGGGCCGCCGGACAGGCTGGAGGCATTTGCCCATGGCATGGCATACAGTAGTAGGATAGTAGCATAGCGGGGCACGAAAGCGAAAAGCAGCGCCGTGTGGCTTCCGGGGCTACTGTAGTAGCTGGCTGCGTGTGTGCCGTCACGGCCTCAGCCACAGCCTGGGTGTATGGGGAAACGATCACCGACCATCAGAAGTGGCAAAGGGAGCCCTGATTGCCCATCTACACACTATGGCGAATTGGACGCGGATGCGGGTTGGCGGTCTCGGGGGGGGCGCCTGGACGGGCCAGCTGCAGCGACGAGGGAGCCGAGGGGACAAGGGCGAGGGACGACGACATGAAGCGCTTGCCGAAGGCACAGTTCACCTCCGCACCCATCCGCACAACACAGTCAGTATCCGAGGGAATGGCAACGGGCATGGGCATGGGTAGAGGGACATGGCGTTGAGGGCATAGTGTTGAGGGCATGGCATCGAGGGCATGGCATTGAGGGCACCCGGCATCTCAATTGTCCCCCGTGCCCAGAGTCGAGTCTCCTGTACTATGCGGCCCAGCGCAGGCCACACAGCTAGTCGGCATGGTCAGAACTACCGAGTACTGTACACCTGTTGTATGAAAACCGTTGCGAAAGTCCTCGCTCTGGAGCCTCCAGCACCTGCTGCTTGATGGCTGGCTTTGCTGGTGGCATGTTGTCTGTCGCGATACACGCCGGGCTCTGGTGTGGTCCAAACCACTCATCACTCGCCGGACGTCTGGCCGAGACGTGGCTGGCCTGTGCTGCTGGTGCATTGCGGCAAAAGAGTATCCCATGCTGAAATTGCATTGGATCACCGGCTCTTCTTGATGCCATTCTGCTCTCCCATCCCACCTGCAACGCGCAACGCGCAACGCGTAAGGTGCCTGTCCCTGTCACTCCACTCGTGCGACCGAATTCCAAACAGCGCCGCCAGTTCACCCATAGTTTTGTCTCTTATAGCTCTGCTCTTGGACAGTACTCCGATGGCGCCACGAAGGCGATATCTTGTGGGCAGGGTGTATAGCGCCACCTCTGGTGGATCTCACTGGGTCGGACGAGATAAAGACGAGTCTTGTGATCAAGCAGCGCTGAAGCCATCCCACCTTACTTGAACTTCCGTCCAGGCCGTTCCATTCGATGCAGCCACTGCTCCGTCTTCCATCAATTGTGGTTGGTATCGCACATTATCGACGCTAACATTTGGACCCGCGATACATATGAGCGATTCGAAGTCGGACTTCAGCCACAGCGATCGACGTCTCGGATTTCCGCCCACGGCTGCCGCGAACGTTATTTTGGTTCAACGACATGGCTCATGCAAACATTGATTTCCCCATACAAACACCAAAGATTGCAAATGTGCTCTCGGAGATGAGGCGAAATTGCGCCTTGCGTGAGTGTCCGCCGACGGCAGGAGCTCCGCACTCAGGCCGTAGCAATTTTGCATGGTTCTTCAAATTACTGATGCCGTCATACCTCGTGGAAGAAGCACTCCTTTCCCCCTCGCACTCCCTGCCCTCAATTTAGCGTTTACATGCCCCGGAACATTATTCTTCATCCCAGGGCAACAAGGTTGCGGGAATGCTCCCCGGATCAGCTCTGAATTCTCCCTTCTGTTGTCCCCTGGCAGGGAGGCCCTGCAAAGGAACCCTTCTCGAAGTTATATTCTCCGCTATCAAAACGGTCATGCTTCTGAATTTGCGACTCTCTTATCCCTTAGCCAAATTAGCTTTGACGTCCTCCGTTGGACGCAGGATGCGTCTAATTTTCCGGCCGTGTCAGTGGGACTTTGATCTCAAATGGCGTCCACTTTTACCCGTCCGCAATTGTAAAGTCGATGGGTTCTAGTGGTGTCAACAAGCAATGTTTGCAAAGCTCCTAACCAGGATTGTAGTTTGCTTGGACTATCCTCTCCGGTTGCAGTAGCATTTGTTTCGTCCATGCTTCAACGGCGGCGGTAACGAAAGGAGAGATTTTAAGAGTGCATAAACGCACATTAGGGCACAGTCATATCATGAGGGATTGCATCGGTCATTGGCCCTGGGTCGTTTGTGGACGCTGCAGCGTAAGATGAAAGCACCAGGACAAATCAATCGCCAGATCTGAAGTCATCAGTCGACACAAGGCGTTGCTTCGACCATGGCATTCTAAATCATCCTTCGCCACTCTCAGGCGTACGGAGCGTAGAGCCGTGGTCCTCAAAGCTCCCTCGGTTTGTCTAGCAGACTTTGATCCAGATGCACAGCCACAGATCCAGACGGCAGCACTTCGAACAACGTCGCTCTCGATCTGTCTGAGGTGACATTATTTACGGGCATCTGCGACACTCGTTGATCATTACAGGGAAGGCGCGATTCGACCTAAAAAGGCCAGTCCTCGCAGAGGGTAAATTTGAGGGGCCTGTCATCCTCAGGTTATCTCGCCAATGGGCTTTGGGGACGGCCGCATCAGCCACTTTTTCTGAACCTTGGGGAACCCGCAAATTCGGTCTAAAAGTCAAATTGCAGTACTACTCAGCTGTGCAAAAAAGTTTCAACTAAAAGTCTCCGAAAGGCAGGACGACGATTGGTCAACTAGAACGAAACGAGGGGCTTCCAGACTCGTGGCCATTGCCTGAGCCACAAGCCACATGCGGCCGAAGGATGATCTTCCCTTGAACTGGTTTAAATGTGGCGAAGGTTGCGTGGCTTGACTGCGTCAATCCACACTTTTCCCGTGTGTTCAGTTCAGGGGCTGCTTTAGTAGACTACGTCGACGGCTTGGGTGCCGCCCAAGAAAGCAAATCAAAATCTACAAGAACGACACACTCCTCCGAGCTGCCGTGACGGCTCTCATCAACTGCTCTCTTCAGTAAGAGCTGTTCTACGAAGGTACATATGTCAGCGCTGAGGGGAAGTTCCCTGAAGCCTCAGGTAAAATCCTTGAGCCACCGGAGAAGCGGGGTAGCTCTCTTGACAGCGCAGTCTGTTGAGAACCTGCTCCCGTGGTCCATGGGTTTTTTGTGTTACTCCATCCCTTCTGGTATTGCTCTTTTCAAGCTGGTTCTCCGAGCATACGCGACTCTGTCGGATTTCGCAAGTGCGTATTGCATCACTTCTCAAACTCTGATCGGCAAGGGCTGCGCTATGTAGAGTAGTACAGTGACAGACTCGGAAGCAGCCCTGCATACTTCAAAGGGTGACTTACGTAGTCGGCGCTGAACGAGTTCACGGGACTCCAAGTCCCCTCCAAGATCCGTTCCGACGTCTGAGGATTTCTGAGAAGTTTAGTTTGAGTGTCTCGGCTGAGATGCGGCATGGATGCACAGGGGCTGGCTAAAATCGTCGCAAAAATCACACTGACGTCATTATCCATTTTCTTTTGCGACTTTCATTCGCTGCTCAATTGATCATTTGATGAGCAGAATTTCTTCTTATTGACAAGGTCAACAGAGACGTGGCACAAGCAGTTGCTGCCCATTCCCATGCACGAATGTTTGCAGCATCGTGATGCCTGCCAGGTAGCTTTGAAGTGTCATCGTAGACGAGGTCTGGACGTCGTCGCAGCTGGCGATAATCTGGGGAAGCTCAAGGGGAAGAGGCTAGCGCGCAGCCTGAAACAGGCGCACTTCAGCACCTCACAGTGTCAGGTGTGAGGCGTGAAGTGAGGCTCGGGCCAGCACGTCCATCCGAATCTGGAAGGGTCACATTGCCCTACGTAGTACAGGTGGCTTGAAGTCGCGCATCTGATGGAGGAGCTCGAGCCGGAACCTATCATCCCCCCTTTCCTCGTCTTATCTTCCTTCTGCAGGAATACACCTGCATCACCGAGGTCACTGCAAGTAAGTCTACAATTCAAAGCTCGCGAAGCTACACCGCTCCGCTCAGTGCTCAGTGGCTTGCAGCCGCCGCCGAGGGCATCCCAAAGCTCAAGTGTCACCAGCCACCGGCCGCTCTAAGCTGTCGCCAGGGGCATTGAAGAGACGATTCTCAACTACCGCCCGTCGGTCCTCCAGGATGGCCCTCGACAACGCATGCGGGGCAACGTACCCCATCCGTCAAGGAAGCCGTCGACAGTGACAATGAACGGGGGAGGCTTGCATCCAATAAGACATTTGGGACACTGCTCCGCACATCTTATTATTTCCTTATCCCTTCGTCTCCTTGCAGCAATTTGTCTGGCCGCTGGGAAATGTTGCCCCGGATATCGCCACCGCAAAAGCTCAAAAATAATTGAACATTTTCAGCATATTCGCCGTCAACACGAAGTTTTCACAGTCCAGGGACGCCCCGCTTCGATATTAGGTTTGTAACGTTCACGGGCTATCGCTTCGGAACAGTAAGTTTATAAAAAGAAACTCTCGGAGGGCTCTTGGATCTGCAAACTCGATGGAGGAATGGATCATCAGCGGTTCTGGGAGATGGGGAAGGACCGGGCACGTATGATGTCATTGTTTCTAATAATGTGTGAGCGAAGCTAGCGAGGGGAGGGGACTCGACGGGAGCCGATGTAACAGGGGTCCAGGTCTGACATCCGGGACCCGATGAGATCTCTAACGGGTCTTCGACAGTAGTGCCCAAAAATTCACTCCTGGGAATCTTTGGAAGAATTATGGAATGGCTTGGCAGCGAAAGGCGCTAGGCAAGAATTTCTCCTCGAGATCTTACGAGGCCTTGCGCGAATACGATGGGGATCTTCACCAGTCGTTTCGTATTCCGCGAATAGCCTCAGCTCTGCCTTCGGAACTGCAGTCAAGATCCTGGCCTGATGTCCTGACTCCTGATTTTTGGTCGCCACATGGTTACATTTCTCTATTTTTCTTGAGAAGCATTGAGATGGACCCCTACTGATAGTTGAACCCTTTTGGGCATCCCAGACGCTGCATTGCACTGCACTGCACTGAGCTTTAGCTTATGAGATGCTTACGACCCTAAGGCGCGCCCTCTCTGACCTCCTCTCACCTCCAATCGAATCTCGACATCGATTCTGCACTTCAACAGCACTGCAAAGACAAGTCCAATGCAGGCATGTTCCGAGGTCTGTGGGGTCGCGATTACCGCTTCGAGCCACGGTTGTTGGTCGCCAAGTCCATTTCCAGATGGAGTGTCCGATAAGTTTTTATTGTATGCCCGAGAGAGAGGGGTGTGATGATGATAATGAGGCCATTACACAAGCACATGAGAGTGGATATTCCCGGGCTATATGTGTGTTTGTGGCGAAAGGGGGAGGGAGGGAGAGCTTATCTGATTCTTTGAGATGCGGTGAGTGGCTTGGATAATGGCACTGGGGGAGTGAGGCGTGGAGAATTTGAGCGAGTCATGCAAGGGGAAGTGCTGTGGGTGAAGATTGGATGGGTTTTTGAGAGAACCCTATGGTGCATCGCCTCTGCCTCTGCGGCGCACCACGCAGCAATAAAGTCGAATCTCCAAATCACTTGCCTTCCATGGAGCAAAGGTTTAGCAGAAGCCTCTCTTTTAGATTCTATCTGGGGGATTCAACCCCTCCAGCCCCCATCGCAAGCGGCATCCATGACTAAGGTTCCCTCGCCAGCCAACCACGGGCTCCCGTGCCCCTCTGATTCGCGAGGAAAGGGTCGACGACGAGGGGTGCTGTTTCGTGAGCCTCGAACATGGCATGCCTCCTTAGAAGTGGGATCGTGACCTCTTCGCCTCCTGTCCCTCCTATCCACCCGTCTCAACCATCTAATTTTCATCACCATTTTCTAGCTTTCTCTGATACAGTTTGAGGTGTTTGAGCAAGGTTTCGAAAGGCAGAGTGAAGGCTGGGCTTGGCTCTCCCTATCGGACCCTTATCGCGCCCGCGTCAAACGTCACTTCTCCGTCAACCACTCACCTCAACCGCAACTCTCCTCTCGGTCCGTACAACCCCGGATCTTTATATTTCCTCCTCTTTGCTTTACTTTTCGTGCGGCTGTGCGACATATCATATTCTAGAGGCGTAGTTATACCTTATAATGGCGTCCACCAGCTCAGGGTCCTTCGAGGACTCGCCGCCCGTCTCGACGGCTCCGAGCTCGACGTCGAGCGAGACGGAGACTGCTGGTGTGACGGGCGCGGCGCATGCCCCGGAGAAATCGCCTGACGATACGAGTAAGCTGCGGATGTTTTTGGGGATTCTGAGGAAGTGAGTTTGATTCCTGGTGAGAGAGGGGGGGGGAGGGGGGGAGGGGGGGCCAGCGGTGTGGCCGATGCGCTGGTTTGCTTTGCTTTCTCCCGGCCTTTTCAGCGCGCATCAGGAGGGGGAGGAAATTGGAGGGGATTTTGTGGTTATGGGGAAAGGGCTAACTAACGCTCGGGAATTGCAGGTTCATCGGCGTAGCAGACATTGCCTCTGTACGGTTTTCGTTGCCCGCCCAGCTCCTGGAGCCGACGCCCAATCTCGAGTACTGGAACTACCTAGACCAACCGAACACATTCATCGCGATTGGGGACTCGAACGACGAGTTCGAGCGTATGCTTGAGGTGCTGCGCTTCTGGTTCACGAAGGATCTGAAATATGTCAAGGGGAAGCCGTGCAAGCCTTACAATTCGGCACTGGGAGAGTTTTTCAGGGTAAGATACTGGGCCTGAGAGGGCTGGGGGTTTTGTTCATGGGATTGGAGCTGATGGGAGTTAGTGTAATTGGGATGTAGAGGATAATGCTCCTGCGATCTCGACTATCAAGGCGGCGTCGATGAATGGGAGTGCGGCCTCTTCTATTAAATCGGGGAAACACACGCCGGCGGGGTCGAGACATGCGTCTTCGTCAAGCATTCCTAAAATCACCAACTTAGAAGCTGTCGCTACGCCTAAGTCAGGGAAGAAAGTCAAGGTTTCATACCTGACCGAACAGACATCCCATCATCCTCCAGTCTCGGCTTTCTTCGTCGATTGTCCCGAAAAGGGACTGACTGCTCGGGGCTTTGACCAGTTGTCTGCTAAGTTCACAGGCACGAGTATCAAAATCACGCCCGGAGAGCATAATCTCGGAATCTTCATCACGCTCGCAAAGCGCGATAACGAGACCTACCAACTCACGCACCCGGCTGCTCACCTGGGCGGTCTGCTCCGTGGAAGCTTAAGTGTAACAGTCGGCGAGCGATGCAGCGTCACTTGCGAGAAAACAAAAATCAAGACAATATTGCATTACATGGAAGAAGGCTGGCTCGGCAAGACGCAGAATAAAGTGGAAGGAGTGGTATTCAGATATGATCCGGAGAAAGATGATAAAGTGAGGATACGAGATGTGCCCGAGAAGGATGTGCTGGCGAGGATATCGGGGACTTGGAGGGAGAGGATTTTTTTCTCGATGGGTGCGAAATCTGTATGTCCCCATTCTCCCTTTCTCAAATATCGCTTTGGATGATTCGCTAATTTGATGATAGGACCAATTAATACCTCTAATTGACCTGGCCCCTCTCTCCGTACCCCCCAAGGTCCTGCCCCCAACCGCGCAACAACTTTCCAATGAGAGTCTACGCTTCTGGTCCGGCGTCACGGATGCGATCACAGCGCGCCAGTTCTCTCGCGCTACCGCCCTGAAGCAAGAGTTAGAGGAGCGGCAAAGAGAGAAGGCGAAAGAGAGGGAGGAGAGCGGTGTTGAGTGGCAGCCGAGGTTTTTCATCGGTGCTGTTACGCCGCTTGGGAAGCCTGAGCTGACGGATGAGGGGAAGCAGGTGTTGAAGGGGCTTCAGGAGGGAAGGTGGGAGTTAAAGGAGAGCGAGGTTTTGGGTGCTTAGAGTCTTCTCCCGCTTTCCGCCTTTCCCTAGCCTCGCAATTTTTCCTTGATAGACGGTTGGCAGTGGGCGGGTTGGATTGGATTGGATAGCATACGCATGGCTCACTCTTTAAGCAGCATCATCATCATGATTACAGGCGTTGGATACGGGGGTTTATTCATGACAGACAGACGGAAGCGGCAGGTTATCCCTCGCCGCGGCAGGCTAGATCTCGACCATAGAGCAGGAGACGTTGGATGAGTACATACATATCATACGCATAGAGTGTTAACGAATCGAATCTTGTACAGCCCCCAGATACTCACTTCCCTTAAAAACCTTGGCTTGTGTGGGTTTGGTCAATCGGTGGGTGTTGGAATGAGGGTCTTTTCCCCCCTGTTGTATATCGTGCCGAGATGTATAGTTGGTGTGCCGTTGTCAGATCCCGAGATCGAGATCTTGAGCAAACTTCCCTTTACCTTTCATCGCCCCTTCGCCCCTCTATCTTCCCGCTCATAAGTTCACCTAGTACTACTTCTCTATTCTCTCCCTAATTTCTATCCCACCCCAGCTTCATTTCAACGTTGATGACGTAGGGAATGGTGGACGGTTTCAGAAGAAGATTATATGAAGCCTAAGCGCAATGATACTGAATGCAGCACTTGATCTAATCCCTTCCTTTCTCCCTATATTGAAGAGCGTATGGTTGTGCATGAGGCGGTTGAGTTGGCTGGCTTACTTTAGCGATTTTTGGGTTGTGTGCCCATTGGATTGAATATTGTTGGCATTCTAGAGGTGAGATTAAATGTAAACAACAGTGCGATATGCAACAAAACTCATTTGGAGGATATTCACCATCACTTGACAAGTATGACTATTTCTCGCTTAAAAAGGGGGGAGTTCGCTTCGCGAAGGGGAGGCAACAACGACGCGGCCATTCATGGCAGGGTTTCAAAAGAAACCAAAGTCTAGGTTTCAATTGGGGAAGAGAAGTAGTTGCTGTTAGAGTTAGAGTTGAGTTCTCTCGAGTGTAAGGATAGAACTGAAGTTGGCGCTGATAAGTAATCGCTACCGTTTTGCCGGCCATTTCCACGCATCGGCATTAGGAGATACCTCACATCGGATGCAACTAATCATTTAAGATCGGCACAACGAGTCTTGCCGTATTTGAAATCTATATCGAAACAGCCAATACCTAACGTGATACATTCCCGAACGCAGTGATTAGTATTGGACCATTACCAAGCGAATGATATCAGTAAACAGGCGTCGAAGCACGCTACTTATGTCAACAAGCTACTTCATGGTGTATAATAGAGGCATAAGACCCACAGTCTCAATCAGACATCCCATAGAACAATTTGGATTCCAACTACAAGCGAAACGAATAGACAGCATGGCCACTTCAAGATCATACCTCGTTATTGGCGGAGCAGGAGCTCAAGGCTTGCCAGTAGTAAAAGGTGCTCCCTCCTCAACTCCTTCAATAAGACAACACTAACTCCTCCCAGCCTTCGCCGCCAACCCCGCCGACACAGTCCGCGTCCTAACCCGCACCCCCACCTCCCCGAACGCCGTCATCCTCTCCGCCCTCCCCAACATCACCCTTTCCCTCGGCTCAGCCACCTCCGAGTCCTCCCTCCGCTCGACCCTCAGCGGCACCTCCCACGTCTTCGTAAACCTCAACTCCTTCGCCCTCGGACAAAAAGCCGAGATCTACTGGGGCATGCGGATCTTCGAGCTCGCTCTCGAGGCCGGAGTTTCGCACTACGTCTGGTCTGGTCTCGACTCCGCTCTCCGCCTCTCAGGCTACGATGAGGCACTGAGATGTGGGCATTACGAGGGGAAGGCGAAAGTTACCGAGTGGATGCAAGCCCAGCCTCAGCAGCCGATGAAGTGGAGTGTTTTGACAACGGGACCATACGCGGAGATGTTGGGTGCTTTGCATCGACCGAAGAGGGATGGGGATGGGGTGTATGTTTTTAAGGCACCGCTGGGTGAGGGCGCCGTGCCGTATATCCATCTTGATGATTTGGCGCTGTATGCGAGGTGGCTTTTTGACCATCCGGAGGAGAGTGCTGGGATGGACTTGCAGGTTGCGACGGAACATGTGGGGGGCCGGTATCTGGCGGAGACGTTCGAGAGGGTTACGGGGAAGAAGGCGAGGTATGAGGCTGTCGCAGTGGAGGAACATATGCCGAAGGAGTGGCAGATGGGGGATGTGAAGTTAGGAGCTGAGTATGAGGGTGAGGGGGATGAGACGTTGTTGACGTTTAGAGAGAACTTCTCGGCTTTTTGGCGGATTTATCAGAGGAGTGCTGGGAATGAGGGGGTTTTGAGGAGGGACTATGAGCTGCTTGATAGGGTCTTGCCGGGCAGGGTGAGGACGATTGGGGAGTGGATGGTGAAGGTTGGGTATACAGGGGATGAACACAAGTTGCTGTTGAACAATGGGGGGGAAGGAATTTTTCAATAAAGCTAAGATCTGAGAGCAAGGTGAAGACGGACCCCATTTGAAAGGATTCTCAGAGGCAGATTTTGATGGTAGAGACCGAAGTTGGCGACTGAAAAATATTATTAGTTGTAGGAATGAACATTGTCTTTGTCTCAGAGGTTGTTGCCCAGCGTAGCTATATTCTAGATTACGCCTCCTGTGGTGATGGAAATTTCCCACTTAACGCTTATGGTATGTTCGACAACTGTCGTATTTGCATTGAAGATGAAGGCGTCTTCAGAATCAAGTTCCATATTCGTTGAAGAAAGGTCTTCAGCCTGGAAAATCGGTGCCAGGCATAGGAATGTTATCAAACTCCCAAAGCCAATCGGCATTATCAAACAAAGTCCAGTCCATAGCATTTGGATCCACATATTGCAAACTTGGGTCGCCATTCGTCGTCCCACCTCCTGCGCTACCTTGTTAATCGTCAGCTGTATCCGCTCAACAAAACGTTCCCACAGATTCCTTACTGGCTTTATCCAAAGTTTGCGCCTTGATATGATACTGCCGCCATTTCCAAAGGCTGTCATAGAGCAGACTAGCACTCAAGCGGCTCTTGATCAGCAGCGTCGGGATCTGTTTCTTGAGCTCTTGGTCGTCCTTTTGCATACGCCAAATATAAGAGAAAACCTCCGATGCGCGAACGAAGACGTCGTTGCCTTTTACTGAGCTGCTTCGCAGAGCGAAAAGTCCTGCTTCGATTGATGCAACACCGGCTGCATAATCGATGCATGTGCAGAAATTCGAGTTTAGTACCTGGATGAGAATCGCTAACGCGGCTATGAGGTATTTGAGGTTCGAGATGGGACTGTAGGAGAAGTAGTTGAACATTGCATGGCCTGAGTTTGCCAATGTAATGAAGTCTCTCGCAGTGCTGTATGCTTTCAGGATACCGCTTCTTCGGTGCTCGAAGTTGGTTGAGTCAAAAAAGTAGAATATCCGCAGGTAGAGACGAGTTTCGATGAGGTGGATGACATCAAGTTCTCTGCAATTAGCAAATGAGAGATACCAAGGAGTAACAAGGACTCACGAGACAGCTTTCCATCAAACTGTGCTTCCAAAGTATTCAAGTCCTCCTCCAGAACATTCATTAACAGAACTCGCTCGCTATCTGGCGGCATGCCCAGCGGACTAGCGTTATTACCTGACATGATTTTCGTGACTCTATCGCAAAATCTAAGCAATATAAGGTGGTAACGCATGCTGTCTGGGAGAGTATAGGAATTTCCAACTTCGCAAGCTCGATCGATACTCCACTCGAAACACCCCATCAGAGGTGGAGTTCCCTGATGTGCTGACATGCTTATAACCATCAGTATTACTCAAACTTCAACAAGGGGTCGTAGATACTAACTACTGTGACACGATATTGCAAGCAGCCCACGTTTTGATATGTCCCTCGGCCGGCAATCTCTCAAAGCCGGCGTACCGAATATACTCATGCAAATGCTGTGGGCGATGCAGACCCATATGCATCGCCGAATTGACAGCAATGCTGGACAGAAAAAGCGAATTATCCGACCAGATACGGAAACCTGGAAACGGCCACATACAGAGCAGCAGAAGCGCTTGTATGGCGGTTACTGTTAAGGGAGGTGCGGAGATGGTCGACCACATGAGTTTTGTAACCGACTTCGTGAGGAAGACAATCATCTTTGACTTCTCGACATGTCTGCGTGAGGCGATGCTGATGATGGACCAGAAGAGCAGGGGTGAGCTCTCGTAGACTCGATCAGGGGAATGCTCAGGGTGGATCAGTGGGAAGTATGGGTGGTAGTGCTCGAAGAAACTGCATTGCGTTAGGAAGAACTGTCAGAATATCGAGGTCTTACAGATTAAAGAGTGAGTCTATCTCTCCTAGGCTGAATGCCATAGAATCTATAGCTCGAATGCTTTGTGCTGCAGGGCGAACACCGTTGCTGCCAGCTAGATGGGCGCTTGAGCTGATGCCATAGGGAGAGCCAGTGGATGTATGAGGAGACTGCAGTAGCTGCGGTGAAAAGCCGGGGGTAGGGGAAGCCCCATGAGATGCAGTTGCGGGACCGGCAACGTCTGTACTCAAGTTTGCCACAATGACGGGTGGGTGCTGACTCTGCACGGCGTCTCTCAAGGTAACCAGCTGCTTCTCTAGCTCATCTATCTTACTGTTGGATTTATATAAGCATGCAATCAAATGAGATAGGGCGGTAATGGCCTTACCTTCGTTTATTGACACGCTTGTATCCAGAGTCCAGAGCGCAGGGGACATTGAGTCTTGCACATCTTGAACATGGATGCTTCGGGGAATCGCATCGTAACTGTTAGGGCTCAGTGTCCAGAAATCTAAAGGGGAACTAAATCAATTTGTTGGATAGAAAAACCTACTTTTGACTGCCTGCATCGTATGCATGCCACCCGCTTGGCCTCACGGTGCGGTGATGAGGAATCTGCACCGTGGGCGTTATTGGCAGCAGCGTTCATCGTGATATGGGTGGTGACGCTTCATTTGACTCTCATACTGTGCACTTCTTCTTGATGGTTCAAGGAACTCTCGTCATACAGCAGTCTATATCGTATTTGTATTCTTTGACGTGAAGGATGGAAGTTATGTTCGTGATGTTTGGTTGCAATTTAGCTGTGACATCCTTGCATGCTCAGATCTACGGTACTGTGGCGACTGCATGCCCCTGCTTCCCGCAGTTGAAGTTCCCTCCAGGGCATATATTCTGCAACGATGAGAATAATTCTCGATACATATTTACTGAATTTCACAACCTTCAATTAATATTGTGGAGAGGTTGTCAATTCTAAAAGTTGTATAAATTGTTTGTGTTTTCTAGGACTTGCTTCATGGTGCTGAACCCGATAAGCAACTTGCATATGAGCATTGAAGAGTGACCAAAAATCCTTCCTTTCATTTACAAGGTAACGGGCTCTTCCAATTTCTGGATACAAGAATCCCATGTACTCCCACTTCAGCTATTTGACGGGTATCCAGGCACCAGCTTCGAAAGATTTCCTACATTGCAAAACCCATTTTCTTGTAACCCTCAATTCTTCTTTCAGGCAAGCTCACGAAATCCGCGGGCTGCCTTCGTTCAGGTTCCAGCATTATTCGAACGCATTCCTGCAGATCGAACCCCTCATTCCCTTCGAACATCTTCTGGATCGTTCCCACAGCCCAGTCCAGTGCTGCGGGCTCCATATCATCGTGCCACCTCGGTTTTGGCTGAGCTGTCGAGCTGAAAGCAGCTCCGCACCCTAAGTCCTTCTTGAATTTGGTGATATATTTCTTGTCTTTAAACTCATCGAAGTGTGCCATCCAGCGAGGATCGAAGGGTGTCAAGCACTGCCCAAAGTCTCTCCAGATTGTCAAGACGATGCCTGAGCCATATTTACCAACATCATACCAATCAAATCGGTACTCCAGCGCGCAAAAATCGCATCTTCTCACCTTGGAATCGTTATCGTGGTTCTCAAAATCCCAAAGCGTATACTTTATACTCTTCTTGTTCAAGTGACGACACAAAACCGCCAGTCTATTTTCGGTTATATCGGTTTCTAGGCACTCCTCGATTAGTTCTGCCTTCGAGAGCGGATTTTCGATGTCGGGAGAGATGTGGAACCAGTGCTGCATCCGGTTGAGCAGTCTCCCTTTCACAGGATACACCTCCGAGCTCCGGATGATAGTGAGTCCTAGGAAGAAGTCTATTGTCCAACCATGGAGTGGGCTCACCAGTAGAGAATTGTAATATATGCCTTGTCGGTAGAGCTTCATTGCAAACTGAATCTGCGAGAAGCGAAATGGCAGTGGGAAAGGCCGGCCCTTGAGTTGTCTGTAGCCGATTATGTACTGAGAAGCACAGGCCCTGTAATTCTCATCGGGATTATCTGGATCTGGAACATATCGTTTTTTGGGGATAGAGTGGAAGATTTCGCAGTCCCGGCAGAGGTACCGTTTATGGGTCTTTCCATCCAGGAAGCGGAGGAGTGCTTGTTTGAGTAGTGCGACCTTTTCAGCAGACGGCCGGGGCTTGTTGCTATTTCTGGCTGTCATGCGCACTTCCGGTACAATAGTGTGAACAAGAGAGAGAGCGAGATCTTTGTTCAAAGACCGTGCGATTTTTCTGACGACAGTCGGGCCCGTGTACCAAATTGCGTCGTTGAGAGAGCCGACTTTTCTGAATTCGTGAAGCAGTTCTTGGTCTTGTTCGGAGTTTTCTACGTGTGATCTTAGGAAGATTCTTTTTAATCTTGCCGGCGTAGGGTCTGTATCTTTGAGGCTATCGGCAAAGTGGACAGCTTTTCTTTTCTTGCTACTGGCGAGGGTTGTGGTAAACTGGTTTGTGGTGCTCGGCGCACCACCCTGAGAAGCGGGATCCAAAGTAACAGTAGCGAAGGTTGATGGCAATCCCGCAGAGGAAGCAGTATCACTGTTTGGTAATGGCTCTGAGGCTTCGTCGGCCGTAGTGTTGGGCTTTTCCTTGTCCGCATCTGATTCAACCGAGTTGAAAATAGTTTCTGGATCAAGGTCTTCTTCGGTATCGCAGAGCGCTGAAGTTGGTTGAGATGAAACATGAGTTGTGTTAGATGAGCGTCTGCGCTTAGAGCTTTTGGGTGGGCGAAATAGGCGGTTTGGGGTCCTCTTGACAGGGGTTAGAAGTCTTCTCGAAGTCGAGGACACTTCGATGGGCTGCTCTTCGAGGCAATGGTATCCAAGCAACCTTGTAGGATCCCAAGTTTGCGTTTTTTGTTTCTTGGGCGCGGCATTTGATAAGGCGCTATGGGGCTTGGAGAGATGTGCCATTTTGTCTTTGTTGTGTTGTTATTATTAGATAATGGATGGAAGATTCTGTAGAGAGAATATGGAGAGAGGTGGGTGGAGAAAGAGTTTCAATTGAAAGATGCGACCACATTATACTGTTTGCCATTCTCTTCTGGACCGACTGAGCTCAAGGCTAAAAGCAACGGCACTCAAATTGGTAAATGGACTGCTGAAAATCTGGTACGCTCACACTAGGTTCCAGGGTTGCGGGACGATCACGTGATAAACCCTTCGGAAAGAACGGCGTAAAATGTACTTGCCCCTTAGCCCGAGAATCTTCTGAGGTCGACAATCCTGGTTCGGAGATATTCTCATCTCATGTTCCGAGATATTCACTCCGAGCTCGAGATGCAAGAAAAACTTATGACCGGACGAGTCTCGCGGGCCGTACCATGAACGATCTCGAAGATTGACTACGGACTGTGATAAGCATCGAAACGGTCCTCGAACTAAGAGTACAATGACGCTGTCGAAATGCAACAAAAACGGGAAAAATAGGCCAACGGCCCGTTAGAGTTTTTTCCCCGAGTTTGTTGCGAAAAGGTGCGTGTATGATGACATGAAGGAAGTTCCCGTCATGCCACATCATATTTGAGGGACGGGCCGTTCCTGAACGATGTTGAATACGACATGGGCTTTGGCGTCACCTCGCACCTTTTCGCGATGTGCAACGGAGGTTGCTCATGGCCTCCCCTCTACTGAAAGCCTTCCCTTCCACCCCAATATCTAAATATAGCAGATCAAATAACCACAGTCCACGATCCCATCTCCTACGGGACATGATCTAAAGAAAGTGGTAGTAGACATCTGCCCACAAGCGCCTCCACACATCCCTTTTTCGCCGGAGCAAGGAGTAGGTACAGCGTCTCGGCTCCGAAAAGGAGGTCAATATCTCGCATGGAATACAGAGCTGCAAGGATTGATCTCGCCTTGTGCTCCACCTTGCCTTGCGAATGAAACTTTTGAATGACGTAGGTAACTTAAGAACAACGTAGGGAAGGGATAAGAAAGAGAGAGGGCCGAGGTGCGGACTGGGTGCCAATTGTTCTTTGGGTATTTCCACATTAGCTTGTCATTTTGTTTCTTTTTTGTTAAAGGGGGAAATCGTAATCGAGGCAAGATCAGAAGATTTTCCTCCGGACATCCATCCCGTTCTCCATCCTCGCAAGCGCCTGCTCGATACCCACAACATCCAGCTCGCCCACCCCTCCATTCGTGGTCTTCTCCACCAGCACCATCCGTCCTTCGCTCTGTCGCGCCTGTTTTCCCGTTGACAAGATAACGAAGCGATGTTCAGCGACGATCACGATGTCGGATTGTGTGCCAGTTGACGATTTGGGGATTTGTGCAACGGCAGAACAGCGCTCGCCTTGCAGCTCTACGCTGTCGAGTTTGATGGCGCGAACGCCTGCTGCCCCGGCAAAGAGGCCTGATCCGCTCTTCTTACTTGCATTCGCGGTCCAGTACTTCGAAAGATTTGGGATGATGGTGAAGGTCTCGCCAAGCCAGAAAAGCACCGATTCTTCTGACGGACTAGTAGGTGAGGAGGCGGGAACTTCAAGAACTGAGATCTGGCCGCGCATAGCGACGTTCGATCCCCTGGAGCCGAAAGGCTCTGTCGATTTGCGGGTCCCAGGAGTCATGGGTGCGAACTTAGAGGTGGTGATTTGAGGTGGGCCGGAGGTGCGAGATTTTGTAGCAGCGTCGATGTAGCCGGTGAGACTGTATTCTGAGCGCGATCCTCCTTTTACCCCTTGGTGGCGGCTGAGAAGGCCCTGTGATGCGCCGGGTCCGACCCCTTCTATGTCCCAGATCGCCCACTGGCCGTCACTGAGCAGTACAATGACAGCTCTGCCGGCTGATACCCATTGTGCATCAATGATAGTCTTCCGGCCAAATCCTGCATGTGTTCCTAGTGGCGACGCTTGCGAATCGGTCTTCGTGCTTTGGAAACCGGTATAGAGAGACAAGAGCCAAGTTCCTTCTGTTGCAGGGCTGTCAGGATCTTCAGTGACCTTTATAGAAGCCTTGTAATCGTAGATGCGGCATACACCGATAGTATCAGCTACCAAAAGGTGACTAGTATTTTGCCTGGAGAGACTTGGATTGAATGAGATGGATTTTGCTGGTGATGCGAGGAAAACAGACTGAAACGGCTCTAGGGCTGGTCTGGGTGATTTGAGAGTAATTCTGAAGAGCAGCAATCGGCCCGTTACCTCTCGAGAATGTGATGCGATTATTATTTGCGTCTCTGCTGGCGTCGAACCTTGACTCTTTTCAGTGACAACTTCTAGTGTCATTGTAACTCCACCGGAAGGCTTCTGGTGTCCATTGAGCAGCACAACGGTCTCTCCCCATGTCCCTTTTCCTGCGGTCGCGAGTGTGAAATCTGATCGGAGTTCTGGTCGCCCTTTGCTCTTGGGTGATGGTGGCGCAAGAGGAACGATGACGAAGCGGAGAGAATTGTCTGCACACGCCGCAGTGAACACGATCTTCTGCTTCAGAGACTCCAGTCCATGCCAAGATGGCCCATCAGCTTTCAAGACCGGGTCGGGCAAAACGGTGAGGTGTAGCACATCGGTCCCAAAGTGAAGATCTAGCTCCTGCAAAATGCCTGGGTATGGCCGTGAAGGGTCCAGCTCCTTTTCCTCGTCTTCAAATTCCGGCTTGTCTTCGAACGCTTTTCCAGAATCGCCCTCATCGTCGGAATCGAGAGAAATAACAGCATTCCCTGTGCCGTTTGCCTTCTTGGCCGGCGCAGAAGAATCTTGGGAGCTCTTGAACGATCTGCCACCTCTCCAAACGAGCTTCACACCATTTTCATGTCCGTAAAGGATGACTGTCGAGCCGTTTGAGGAGAGGATAGGGTAGACTTTGGCGGTATGGATTCGGTGCGGGAGTTCGTAGCTATTTCAATATTGTCAGCTGGGATGCTTCTGGAGCTCAAGAATGTTCACTTTAGCTGGGTATTTTGGGTGTTCTTCGAGACCCGAGGTTGGGGCAAGCTGCCTGCCATAGTTTGGAATCAACGAAGATCCGTTCGATTATTGAAGTGCCATGCTTGGGGAAAGGATGTTCGTTGAAAGAGTGCAGAGCTCATGTTCGTTGTCATCCCTGAAGTCGTGTCGGGTGGAAAAACGTTAACCCGAGCTAAGACCGACAACCGTCGCTAATTCGCAACCCTCTCCTTACTCTCTCCCAACCCTCTTGAACATGAAGCTGAAAAATCCAACTGGGCCATAACCATCTGCTCGGCTCCCACCGTATGTTCGGCCATTCTTATTAAGCCTTTATTGAAGCCAGATTACAGCCCTGCACGTCGAGATGGCTCACATGACCTTCCCAACTGTCATAGCTGTCACTGATGCTTCTGGGTTCTAACCGCATTCTGTCCCCGCTTATCGATCGAGTCCAGCCTTCGCCAAGCCGGCACGGCAAAGACGGCACCTACGGCCGTTCGTTCCCGCTGCCCAGTGCCCAGTCTCGCATCGCCATCACTCTCTTCTTCTTCTTCTCATTTTGAACACACACCGCCAAACCCCGCCATGCTCGGAGCATATTCTATAAAGAGAGACTCCTCTATGGCTGCAGGGAGTCCGGTGGAGAGAAAATGGGGCCAGAACAGCGGTCAAACCAAGCTTATCGTCCCTCAAATATATGCGCCTCATGCGCCTCCAGCGCCTCCTTCAATAATGGCCGTCGGAATGGCATCATTTGCGGCGCCCAGGAAAGAACAAACCCTGGCCTGGCTCGGGCTAGTTCGAGCGGAATATCTCCCGCGCCGTGTGCAAATGCACGGCTGCAGGGGAGGCGGGGTTTGTCATTTATTTTGATCCGAACGGCGAGCTCTCTTGTCCCCACTATTGCCGCATCCCACACCTCTCCTTATTTCCTTCTTCTTCCCCGGGCCTCTGACTCGAACAAACTCGAGATTGAAACCCCTTTAATTTGCCAATGTCATCTTTTTCTACAGCAGTCTTTTCGGCAAACACCTTTTTATAGCATTAAAGAGAGAGATAGTGGAGTGTCGAAGACTTCAGCCACTTTGCCAGCCTTGCTGTCCAAGTGGTCAGACTTTCCTTCATCCATCATTGAGCACCCATACCTAGAAGTGTTTCCAGCAGGCCAACATGGCGCTCTCCAATGACCCCGAGAAAGACAATTTCCATGCACCAGATCCAACAGCGAATACCTCCTGGAATAGAAACTCGACTGAAGAGGAGTTAGAGAAGGATGGGCACACCACCGCGTCGTCACCGATACACACCTCACATTCAAATACTTCCCACGATACCACCAACAGCGATCCATTATCACCCCTTGAACACGCCTTAACCCCGGACCTCGAAACAGACGCAGAACATGTCGCACGCCCAGCATTAACCTATACCAAGTCTGGCGCTTCACTCGCAACCACAGGATCCAGGATACCATCCTTTGAGGTCGACTTTGGGGCCGATGATCTCGATGACCCAAAGAATTGGCCGATGTGGTATAAAGGTCTTACAATTGGCGCTGTCAGCTACTCGACTTGGACCGTCGTCCTGTATTCGACCAGTTATACAACTTCTATGCCGGGAATGATGAAGGATTTCAATGTTTCGAGTGAACCAGTGGCTACACTGGGAGTGACGATGTATTTGGTTGGTTTGGCAGTAGGAAGTCTGATCTTGGCGCCATTGAGTGAGATATATGGGAGAAGACCTGTCTACATTGGGAGCTTGTGTTGCTTCTCTCTGATGGTTCTTCCCTGTGCGCTGGCCAAATCGCTTCCTGAAGTGCTTATATTCCGGTTTCTTGGGTAAGTTTCACAATCCCAGACAAAGGTCCAAATTTAATATCCTTCTAGAGCGTTGGCGGGATCGGCGATGATTGCAAACGCACCAGGAACCGTCAACGATATCGTCGACGAGCAGTATCGAGCGCTTGCATTCAGCATCTGGAGCATCGGTCCGATGAACGGGCCCGTGACAGGACCACTGATTGGTGGATTTGCTGCAGAGTATTTAGGGTGGAGGTGGACAAACTGGCTGGTGCTGATCTTCTCTTCCGTTGGATGGATCATGTGCTCTCTGGTCAAGGAAACTTATGCTCCGGCGCTGTTGCAAAGAAAAGCATCAAAAATAAGGAAAGAAACAGGAGACGATAGATGGTGGTCTCGATACGACCAGCGATTGAGCAGTAAGTCCTTCGGAAGTGGATTGTGGAGCTGTTCGATCTGACATTCGTTTCCTAGTCCTCCAGATTCTTAAAGTCAACCTTTCCAGACCGTTCATTTTAGCATTCACCGAACCAATCCTGTGGTTTTGGAACGCGTATATCTCAGTATGTACCCTTGAAAGCAAGCTATCGATGCCACTATTTTAGCTCCTGACTACTTACTGACTTTCGACTTTAAGTTGATATATGGCATCCTGTACCTCTGTTTCGTAGCCTACCCATTAATCTACACCGGATTGCGTCACTGGTCCCTCGGTATTGCTGGTCTAGCCTTCACTGGCATTGGAGTGGGGACCATGATTGCGATTGTCACAGAGCCAATCGCTCGAAGGGTGGTTAATTCGCACAAGAAAGACCCCGAAACAGGTCGCGTACCGCCCGAAGCCTCCATCTCGATTGTTTGCCTTGCAGCATTCTTGTGCCCAATAGGCCAATTATGGTTTTCGTGGACTTCGGTACCCATTACAATCCATTGGATATGGCCTATTCTAGCTGGTATTCCATTCGGCGCCGGCAATGCCCTCGTCTTCATCTACGCCTCAAACTACCTGGCTGGCTCCTATGGAATTTATGCGGCGTCAGCACTCGCAGGAAACAGTGTGTTTCGATCATTCATTGGAGGCACCTTGCCATTGGCCGGACCTGCCATGTACGCTAAATTAACACCTCAGTGGGCGGGGACGCTCCTTGGTCTCGTTCAAGTCGCATGTATACCAATACCTTTCGTGTTCTACAAGTGGGGAGAGAAGATTCGAGCGAAGAGTCCATTGATCAAGCATATGAGAGCTGATCAACAGAGAAGAGAAGAGAAGGCTGCTGCTGCACTGAGGAGACAAAAGAGAAAGGACGAGGAAAGAGGAGAAAAGACGGTGGTGGTTAAGGAGAAACCGGGAGGGGATCCAGAAAAGGAAGCGATGAGGAGAATTGTTACTTCAGAAAAGGAGTGAAGTATTGAATAGATAATTGTATAGAAGTACGAAAATATACCCATTGACAGCATGTGGTCCGTTATCGGAAACTACAATTCACCTGAATTGACAAAGTCTCCATGCAGTCTGACCACAGCCTCGTCACAAAGGGGCTCAATAGCCGAACAAAGCCAGCCGGGATTTGCACCGAGTTTTCCAAGCTGATTCAGCTGAACAAAGGATCCTGACTGATATTTGGCTGGCTCTGTTTCTTGTTGTCCTATGGGAAATTTTCAAACTCACAGAGCATAGACTATATTATATACTCATAACTCATTTACAGATCTGCACCGTGCAGCCGTGCAGCCCTGATTCCTAGCCGCCCCCTGCCACGACTACCGGAGGCTTAGCGTGGGTCCAAAACGTCTTAGCGGCTTCGCACAAAAATACTTGACGACCGAGATCTGATTTCCTCTTCACTTCTCCACGTCCACGGTACCGTGCCAATCTATTCCTACCGGTGTAGTCAATCTTACCCTCATTCTTCCACGGTCGCGTCGTTCTGTCGACTCTTCAAGATCTGCTGCTTGGTCTCCCCATCATCGTGTGACCCCGCCGCCGCATTTCTCCACCACCTTGCAGAGCCACCGCCAGACACCAAGATCTCGCTTTCGAAAGCCTTTTACCCCCAACAACAAAGGATCTCGACACCGGGACGCGACACGAAGACTACCACCCAACCTGCACCCAGAATCTTCTGTGACTTTCAGTAGTCATGGCAGTTCCGACGCAGTTTGCATACCGAACACTGAAGGGGATTGGCATCGTGGATGCCGCGCCTGTGTACGAGCCTTTGCCTGGGTTTCAGAGACCGGAAGGTAATTCGCGCTGCTGTGTCTATTCACCCTGCGGCAGATACTTCGCCTGGGCTTCTAATGAGGGCGTCACGGTCATTGATGCCTCGGTCGGACACGTCATCACGACGCTCCCCACGCCTAACGTGTACGAATTAGGCTTCTCTCCTCGAGGCTCGTACATCATTACCTGGGAGAGGCCGTCCAAGGATGAAGCTGGTGATGCCGTCAAGAACCTGAAGGTCTGGCGTACAGTCGAGGACCTCCCGGACGACGCAGAAAAACAGGTCGTGGGAAGGTTTGTGCAGAAATCTCAGACGGGCTGGAACCTGCAATACACCGCTGATGAGCGATACTGTGCTCGTGTTGTCACCAATGAGGTTCAATTTTACGAGAGTGGCGATTTGGGCACAGTCTGGAACAAGCTGCGCGCCGAGGGTGTTGCCGACTTTGCAATCTCTCCAGGCAACACCCATTCTGTGGCTGTATTCATTCCAGAGCGCAAGGTATGTTGACTGCTGTTCAATTGATAGATCTAGTCTAACGTGTTTCCAGGGTCAACCAGCTGCCATCAAGATCTTCAATGTTCCTCAATTCGCAACTCCTGTATCTCAGAAGACCTTCTTCAAGGGTGACAAAGTCACATTGAAATGGAACCAGCTTGGCACAACCTTGATTGTTCTGGCACAGACCGAAGTGGACAAGACAGGGAAGAGTTATTACGGAGAGACCACGCTATATGTGCTGAGCGCAAATGGTGGATTCGATTCGAGGATAACTTTGGACAAGGAAGGACCAATTCATGACGTTTCGTGGTCCCCCAATTCGAAGGAATTCGGGGTGGTCTACGGTTTCATGCCAGCCAAGACAACAATCTTCAACCAGCGGGCTGTCGCTACTCACACCTTCCCGCTCTCACCACGAAACAACATCTTATTCTCGCCAACGGGTCGGTTTGTTTTGGTAGCAGGCTTTGGAAACTTGGCCGGGCAGATGGATATATATGATCTTGAGAAGGATTATCAGAAGATCTGTACAATCGAAGGTGGAAACCCCAGTGTTTGCGAGTGGAGCCCGGACAGCAAATACATATTGACTGCTACCACGAGCCCTAGATTACGTGTCGACAATGGGGTTCGTTTGTGGCACGTTGGAGGTGGGATTATGTACAATGAGGACATGGTGGAGCTGTACCACGTCACCTGGAGACCTCAGGCTTTGGACAATTTTTCGCCCGGAGACCAGTTGCATCCGGTTCCGACCCCCCACGCGTCAGCACTAGCATATCTGAGCACAGTGAAGACACCTTCGAAACCAGCTGGTGCGTATCGGCCTCCAGGAGCACGGGGTACATCAACACCATTGCACTTCAAACGCGAGGACGAGGGTGGAGCTGCACACATTGTTAGCAACGGAACCTCACTCGTGGGCTCGAATGGATTTGGTAAGCCACGGAGACAAGTCCCCGGAGCTGAAACTATGGATAACCTTCCGCCTGGGGCCGCTTCCGCCAACGGGCCAGCGTCAGGAGCAGCGGAGGGTGATGAGAATTTGTCAAAGGCAGCACTGAAGAACAAGAAGAAGCGTGAAGCAAAGAAAGCCAAGGATGCAGAGGCTAAGGCAGCTGGACTGACGCCAACACCGGACGGGCCAGCCACTGCAAGCGCCGAGAACCGAAGCCCAGAGCGCAGAGACCGACGAGAGCACCAACGGAGCCGATCCAAAGGACAGCAGGACATCCGCACCCCTTCCCAGCAGCGTTATCGCAGCAACACCCACCAAGGAAAGCACAATGGTCCGAATGGAAACGCACCAGCAGGCCATATGAACAATTTGTCAATCAACCCCACGGCCACTCGTGGCCACGATCCTCCTGAGCTTTCCGTCACCTCTCCAGGTGGCGGTAGCCCAAACGCCAAGAAGCTGCGAGGCCTACAAAAGAAAATCCGCGCCATCGAGGACCTGGAGATGCGTCTTGCAGGCGGGGAGAAACTGGAGGACACGCAGATGAAGAAAATTGGAACCAAGGTCGCGGTGCAAGCTGAACTCGCTACTCTTGAAGCCGAGACCTAACTCACTCGCTCCTAACCCATTCATTGCGTGGAGTTCGTGATTGCGGTACTTCGAAGTAGCGTGCAGCATGGACTTTGCTTTCAAAGCAGCGTTTTGTTGGATTGTGTTGGATGGTGGGGGACCGGGATTTGCATGGTTGAGGCATCATGGGCTGGCTGGGAATGATTGAAAGACAGACACACGAACGAACGAATCGAATGAATGATAATTCGAAACGATGGTGTTATGAATGATGCGTTCGTTGAGTTGGCTGGGTCTGGAACGAGCATGCATGCTGGGAGTTCAACGGCTTAGACCATAGATTAAATGAAGACCCATGACCATTGACGAGCTTTGCTTGCGGTGTATCAATTGAATTGTGATTTTTCGTTTGCGTCGAGGTTGGGGCAAGTTCCTGGTGAACTCTCTGCTCTGAGACCATCTTTTTGCATATTTGTCAATCTTTTGTCAATGTTCACGATCTTCTAAAGTCTTTCAAGCCATCTAGCTTTCGACAATCCTGAACGTTCTGCGGGGTGCTGGGGCAATGTTCTGCAATATTCAGGAAAGGACCCGTACTTTATCAGGGCTTCTGTTGCGGAGATTACCTTATTCTTGCTTTTGGACATCTTGCCTTCCCAGTCAAGTCAAGTGTTGAATGTAAGATTATCACCCCAAAAAAAACGCTGCCGTACCTGCGCCCCAGATGCGGCTAGCGCGTACATCCCTCACCGCCCGAGTGAAGCGTACGCCCGATCGCAAGGCCCCTTTGATTAATTATTACGATAACAACGAGCATTTTTCTTGTAGAAAAAATTAGTAGAGTTATAGTATAATGTACTAATAGTAGCTCCTCGTTCTCCGTTCAAGGAAACACCTCGTTGCGGGCGAGTTATCTCAAATAATAATAATAAACTACTACTTACCCCGCTATTGAAAACGCTGCCGCTGGCGGCAGCGTTTTTTTTGCCCTGTGAAGACCGAACTTTCAATATTCGCGAGGTAAAATAAACGCTGCCGCGAGCGGCAGCGTTTTTAAGAAAATTGGGAGCAGTTTCCTTATTCAGAACAAGTAATTTGGGTAATAAGAGAGAGAGGCTAACTAATAAGGATATTAATTGCTTGCTAATTAATTGCCTATTAAGTAATCTCCTTACTTCCTTTATTACTATATTACTGGAGAATGCTTATTGTATTCGGGAATGGCCTATACTACTGGAGAATGCTTGTTGTATTCGGGAATAGCCTGTACCAGTAAAGAATACATATTATATTCGGGAATAGCCTATACCACTAGGGAATGTATATTATATTCGGGAATAGCCTGTACCAGTGGGGAATATATATTATATTCGGGAATGGCCTATACCACTGGAGAATACTTGTTGTATTCGGGAATAGCCTATGCCACTAGGGAATATATATTATATTCGGGAATAGCCTGTGCCAGTGGGGAATACATATTATATTCGGGAATGGCCTATACCACTGGAGAATGCTTGTTATATTCGGGAATAGCCTATACCACTGGGGAATACATATTATATTCGGGAATAGCCTATACCACTGGGGAATACATATTATATTCGGGAATAGCCTGTGCCAGTGGGAAATATATATTATATTCGGGAATGGCCTATGCCACTGGAGAATGCTTGTTGTATTCGGGAATAGCCTATACCACTAGGGAATGTATATTATATTCGGGAATAGCCTGTACCAGTGGGGAATACATATTATATTCGGGAATAGCCTGTGCCAGTGAGGAATAAGCCAGAAAAGATCCTTTAGTTACTTCCCTTTACTTATATAACTTATAATTAAAAATGTACTTGGGACTCCAGAGCTAAATTAGCTGACTATGCGGGTCGAGTACAGTTTGACAGTTATTATTACTAGTGAGGAATATATGGCCATTCCCAAATGGGCTTTTCCAGTGAGGAATATAGCTAGTCACGTGCACCGGCAGAAAAAAACGCTGCGTCCTGGCAGCGTTTATTTTCGGAATGAATGCAACTCATGGAAGCTGCAGTGCTCTAAACGCTAACGAGCCTAGTATCATAAGTCTGTGTTTTTAGCGAAGTTTTCAGGCATCGCAAAACCAAAGTCGGCCACTTCACTTTATAGTTTCACAACAACTATAAATTAAAACCTTACGAGTTATATAATTCAAGCGCACATGATAAAAGAAGCTAGAATGAGTTTAGCAGGCGTTTATAACTAATTCAAAATATAAAAGTAAAGCGTCCAAAATTGTTATGGGGCTCGTTTCTTAGCGAAATGCCCTAAAAACACAGACTTGTGATACTAGGCTCGTAAGAGACTAACGAGCCTGGTCGCATAAGTCTGTGTTTTTCAGGCTAGTTTAGCGAGCGCACCTCCCAAATTCAACAACCCCACCAATATGCCCACTACCCCCTCACCACTCGTGTTTAACCACGCTCTAGGCTTTGAAATTGCTACAAAACACAAGGAGGCGATATGGGAGCTTTATAGCTAGAGATATGTCAACTGCGGAGCTAATAGAGCGCTATAAGCTTGGTAAAACTACGATTTATTATGTTTTGGGCATATAACGCTCCCCTACCATGGTCGCCGAGATAAAAACAATGGTGCTAGAGGAATGGGACAGGATACCACAAGATTGAATAAATGAGCTGATTCTAAAGCAGGAGCATTGGGTTCAGATGCTAATAGAGTATTATGGATGGTCAACTCCTAATTAAATATAATATAGTCGTGAATTAATTGGGGTGAAGTGTGCCTGACAGCCTGAAAAACACAGACTTATGCGACCAGGCTCGTAAGCCCATTAGGGGCCTCAGGCCCCTAATTTCAACATGCTTCAAATTTATTACCGACGGACTCAATAATAGTCGGACTTAACGTCGCGCTAAAGGGGCCCCTTTAGCGCGACGTTAAGTCCGACTATTAATGGCCTCATACGCTTTGCCGGGATCATCAATCTCGACTTGGCATCAAGAACTCCCAAATAGAACAGTCAACTCCGTTGCCATTCGATTGGCTGACGCATTGGTTCTCGTGCTATCCATGATTCTCGTGCGAGTACCTGAGCTCGTAGAAGCTCAAAGTCTCGCACGACCCTTTATGCCCCCACTAGCCCGTATGCTTCCACCAGCCTTGATTCTCATGCGCGACAGCGATAGCCTTGACGGCCGCAACAGATCCATTCTTCGAAGGGATTGTTGGAGGGGTTGGCGGTGCGTAATTGCCAGTTCTTGTTGGAGAGCGTTCATTCTGGCATGCTTGGTCCCTGTCGATCCCTACCCTCGCTGGGGAGGGCGTATTCGGGGAACTAGGATAAGATGATAACATATTGGTATTTTATTACGGGAATAGCTTGACACTGTAAATTTTGGCCTAACTATTATTCCCACAATACAGCCCAGGCTCCGGTCGGATTAAAAGAGGGCTGCGACTAGAGATCCACCTAGCTGGGAATAGTAAGCTGTAAAGTGCGGCACCGGGAAGAGTTACTTTGAGCCTGCCAAGAACGATCGGACAGACAGTTAGACGCTTTATTATAATTATTGCTGCGAAACAAGAGTATTTCGTAAATATTGCGAACGAAGGAAATGCGCCAGCAGGCAGGAGCGCGAGGTGCCGGATAAACGTATAAATAATATATATCCGGGGGGAAAGGCTGCGCCCCATATTTACGCGCCCGGCTGCGTTTACTTGCGCCAATGTCCACCAAGGTCTATCCATTCTCAGGCCCTCTTGCAGCCTAACCCAAGCTCTAGAACCTTATTAAAAGTCCGCAATATTATCTCCATATACAGTGCCAACCTGTAATATAGACCATACAAATTCAGTCCGCAAACTCAGTTCGCCATTTACTGCAGATATATTATTATAGCAATCTATAACCCTAATAATTTACTGCTTTAATCCGTAGCCCAATAATCCCGGAACTTCATCTCTTGTAAGCTCAACTCCACACCTCAATCTCACACTTTCCTCACTATATATATCTTACTGCATATCCCATTCTATAACGTAATATATAAATACGGCTTGTAATAGCCCGATTCAACTTTTAACCCCAAACTCTTTAGCTACCCTAACCCTGCATTTCAATTCTCATTATGCTCGGCTATAGCTAGATATGAAATACAAACCAAGAGTCAAGTTAGCTCTTTAGTCAGTTATTTAGCGAGCCTGCTATTTATATTCGAGGCTAATAAGACTTGCGTTAATAGTGCCCTCAAAAACCCAACTCTCTTTTCCGTACCAATATTAACATGCAACTTACCTCCCTTTCCGGGCAATTATATATACTTTATCGAGAGATTTCAGATTAAATCCAAGGCGGAATACAGAATAAATTAATTATTGCACCTTCCTAGGTCTGATTTTCGCGGCCTCTAATGCTATAATGGGTTAATCCTCGTATATAGTGAAGCTAAGAATATTATAAGAGGACTGGCATATTTGGAGCAGTATTAATATAGGGCTCTTAGGAGGAAATAGAGGAATTATTAGAGCCGATATATTATAGTAATAGATAGAGTTCTAGGCAAGGCTACAAAGCGTATTGCTATCCTGAGAGCGCGATATAAGAGCTTATATAAAGGTTCTAGTTTAGCCCCCTCCTTTATTACGGAGGCGGACATAGATCTTTTCGATAGCGGAGGGCAATAAACAAGAAGCTTCGGCGTCCGATTTCGCATGCCATGGCACACCCCTCTCCATGCCCCTCGAGCGAGCCATTGCACAACCGCAGCGAGATCAAAAGACCTTGACGCAAGACGCGCTAGATACGAGACTACGGCACCACTCTCCGATTGCACTCCGGAACTTCACGTTCTCCAAGCTTAGTCAAGAGAATCCTACTGGTTGCAGCACAATACGAGAAGACGAGATGCTCTGTCTCACACTGGGTACCGATACCTTGGATGAGAGTGACAACGGCCCGGGGAGCAGCAGAAGGAGCAAGAGGTGGACGATAACGACAATTAACGGTTAGAGCTGCAATAGCACTAACCGCTGGAAGGGCCTAATACTCATACCTTCAATAGGGAGGATGGATAAAAGCGCAAGGCCCCTCAAGCGGCAATGGCTACTTCCCTCCCATGGATTGTCGATTCCTAGCGACAGGGACAGCGCAATTCGCGGGGGTCTAGAGGCGATTTCCAGGGCAAGAGATTGGGATAAAGAGAGCTTGAGCCACAGTTGAGCCACATATTGACGGGGAATGAATGGGGTATTGGTGCCATGCGATCTTCTAACGACTGAGAGACCGGAGAGACCGCAGATTTCAAGGACTAGGACGGGTGATGGGTCGAGGCCAGGGCTAGTCCGGACTACGATTATCTAGAGCCTGACATTGCGGCCCCGAGTTAATTGAATGCGTCGGGAAGGACGGTAGAAAGCATTTAATTCATAGGCGCAGAGCGGCGTTTTCAGGTTTGACTTCAGCATCAGCATGGCTTTTCCGCAGCATAATTGATGTACGAGCATTGGTTGCATTAATGTTGAGGGTGCGCACATGCGATTTGAAGATTTCGTTATTGGCCTATCTTGCGTGCGAGTGCTTGGTTACACAGCATATCCACCACTCGTTTCTCAGCATCCCGTCCTACTTTCGGCCAATTGCTCTACGATGCCCGCTGTTTTCTCCTCATGCATCGCTGCCTTAGAAATACAGCCTTACCGAGGATTACTTTGGGCTCAAAGCCAGCAGCTAGAAGGAAGTTAAAGCTCATCATCGCCAGCCGTACGATAAAGTTCAGATGAACGAGCGATGGGCTAATCTTACAATCACTTGCGCAATCAGTTGTGTTCCTCGTCAACAGAAAGCTCCTGAGTCTAGTTTGTACCAGCAACTGTTGGAACAATGTTGCTCATAAACACCACAACATTGCTGTTAGAGCCGTTCTACGGCGATGAAATCCCTCCCTACGCCATTCTTTCGCATACCTGGGCAGATGGCGAGGTGTCCTTTCCGGAATTCATGCAACTGAGTGAAACCAAGAACGACAGGATCACGAGCAAGGCCGGGTACCTCAAGATCTCCGCAACATGCGAGAGGGCGCGGAATGATGGACATCGTTATGCCTGGATTGACACCTGTTGCATTGACAAGACGAGCAGTGCAGAGCTCACCGAGGCTATCAATTCCATGTTCGGCTGGTATCTGCAGTCAGAGATTTGCTATGTATATCTGAACGATTTCATGCTCGACACGGCAGATGTTCCTTCCCGAGAACAATTTGACGCCGAGTTTCGGAAGTGTCGCTGGTTCACTCGTGGGTGGTGCCTGCAGGAACTGCTTGCGCCGGGAAAGCTACGCTTCTTCAACCAGAAATGGCAGGAGATTGGCACGAAAAGTAAACTGAGTCAACTGATCTCAGATATTACCGGCATTCCCGAAATGGTGCTCTGGGTGCCTTCGAGGAAAGATATCCAGGAGTTTCCGATCGCTGCACGGATTTCCTGGATCGCCAAGCGCCACACCACCAGAATCGAGGATATGTCATATAGTCTTCTGGGTATCCTCAACGTCAATATGCCAATGCTTTATGGAGAAGGCCAGAAGGCCTTCCTTCGACTCCAAGAAGAAATTATTAAGAAGTATAATGATCTCTCTATCTTTGCCTGGAACGGAAAAGCATCAGTATCAGGATTCATGCCTGTATTAGCGCCCATGCCTTCATGCTTCGAGATCAACCCTTCAGATAAACATAGCAGTCTTCGTAGGTATAGTGGCAGCCAGCTTGGTGACAGGCTGAGCACGCAATTTTCTCTTACGAATCAAGGTGTGTAGGTAGTGGGGGAGAAATCTCTTTTCCTATTTTGGACTGTTTCATGATTTTCTCCCAAGACTATGCTATCCCCCGAAACTTTCTCTTGATCGAGCAATTACTAACTCCCAGTTACCTAGGTGTCTTCTTTCCGAGTGCAAAACTCCACTACCAGACTGCGTTACCGGATTACCGTCACCATTACCTCTTGCCTCTGAACTATTCAGATCCTTCCTTCCGAGGTAAGGGCAAACAGAGGTATATTCTTCTCCAAAAAGTCGGCCCTGGGCTGTTTATTCGCCTTCATGATCCCTTGGACCGGATGAAGGCGTTCCAAAAAAGCCAATGCACCGGTGTATTCTTCGAAGCGGTATGCATTTTGAATAGCCTTCCTGAACCGATAACCCGACAGCTTATTCTGTGGGAGCGCTATGCTGTTCGCTTGCGCTGGAAGCCCTGGGCAAAGCCTGGACGCAGATATATGCATATTCGAACGGCACAGCCCAGGGAAAGCTGGGACATTGCCGCAAATCAGTTTCTGCTGGAGATGGCATATGAGCGTTACATGCATATCGAATTTGTTCCCGGGAACTATGACAGTAACCCGAGCTTCAAGTACTTTGTCTTGGTAATTCAAGTAGGTGTTCACAGCCAACGAGACCCTGCAATAGTGTCAGTACGGATTATGAGTGCCGATATTTGGGAGGGGATAACAATTACGAGTTCGAGTTCGGGTTTTCGAAGAAGAGAATCTTTGGTACTTGAGTCGCTTCCCCTTATAAAGGGCACGGGAGACGCTGACAGTATCTCACTTGCGGGATATGATATATCGATGTCGGTGCAACTCGTGACTGAGCCGAACGAGCAGCCATACCATCTCGTATATCTTGACTGGGAGGCAACAACAGCACTGCCGGTCACCATGGGTAACGAAGACGCTGACATGTGGGTGGGAAGAAGGGCACTAACAGGCTCTGAAGACAGCAAGGATCTTTTCACAAAAAGTAGCAACCCACAGAATGGATACTAAGGGGCAAGTTAAAATGACAGCAGATGTCTCAAGTCTCGAGATAGGGTATCTAACGATTTGACCGTTCTGACCACAATCTGAACGTATGATTCCAAGGTTATGTGATCGGATGCTGCGACTGACCGAGCACTCAGAAGTTTTTCAAATGTCTGCAGGCTTTTTTGAGACCTCTGGATACTCATTCATAAACTGGCAGAGCGTTTCGGGCTCAGATTGATAATACGAGCCATGGTGGACAAAACTGACACTAATTTGTAATATCCCAAGTTCAAGCGCGGGCATGTCAAATTTCACCCCCTCCTGCTGTTGCCGTCGGCATCACACATTCAAATTAACGCTTCCTTCGTATACCCCTAGATGATTGAGACACCGAAAATCAGTGTCCCTCCTTTTTGGTCAACTACGAGGACGGTTTGGTTGAAATCAGAAGATAGCTCGTTAAAGAGTGGAAGGGCGATTTTCTCTAACAGCTCGACCTATTAGGACTGAGCGAATTTCTTGATCCGCGTGTATTTCAATGATTTGGAGTTGGAGACGTCTTTGACGACCATCAGCACTTGCCCACGGACAACTCGACTTCATCATGGTCCATGAACCTGCAAGCAATGAAGCGATTGAGAATATGAACATCACTGCGGAATGGAATGAGACAAGGAAAGAGATTACAAAGCTGGATGGTCCTGAGGTGTTGGGTCAGGGGTATGAGTGGGGAGATGGACATGCGATGGATGAGTATGATGCTGGGTTTTATGGATATTTGTACTGAGCGTACCGCCATCCCCCGCCCTACTTTCTCCTCCTTCTCGTCTACTTCCGGCTTGGGATATGTGGCGTGCTAAAAGTGTTCATAGCTCGTAAGTCTTCGCAGACGACAAGTTCCACTCGGAGTTTGCAAAATACCCCAGGAATAGAGGGGAGAGGAGAAGAGACAGACATGCAGTACTTCACAAAGGGGGTGCGCAGGATGAGATGGTCACTTTGACCCAGTTTTTGGGAAGACAGCCGAGGATGGAGGGATTTTATTGGTCGTTTCGTTTGGTGTAGGTGAGGGGTGTATTTGTTTGTCTTGAGGAGAGATGTGGCACGGTTACCGAAGCCGATAGCGATCCTCTTGCCAAACCCCCGAAAAAAAACATTGCAAATGACATTTGTACACATTGCACTTGACTTTTTTCTTACTTTTTACTTCTTATATAATAAATTACTTATAAGATAAGATATTTATAAGCTTACAAATAGCTTATATACTTTCCTAATTATTCTCTTTAATTTAGATTAATTAGAATTCTTCTAATTAGAATTTTTTTATTTGTAAAATTTTGAAGTTCTTTCTTTAATATTATTTTTATAATAGCTAGTATAACGGCTAATATAATAGTATAATCTGCCGGACATAGAAATTCAGAAATAGATCTAAAATGGAACTAAGTTAGAAGATTTAGGTAAAGTAATACTAAAAAGTCAAGGCATTTCTTTCTATTTTACTTTCTAGCTTAGTATTTTTAATATATAAGATTTATTAAACTTTAAGCCTTTAATTATTATATTAATTCCGCTATTATATAATATTAAGCTTATTTAACTTAGCTTATAAAAGTAATATAATATTACTTATAAAGAACTTGTATTTATTTTTAGAAAGCAAAGATAAAATATTAGTTTTAATTATAATAATTGTTTTAAATTATAAATAATTAGAGAGTTTAGCTAGAAATATAATACTTTTTATAATCTAGTTAATTTCGAAGTCTGGCTTTTAATTAAAGCAAATAATATTTCCTTTCTAGTAATTAGTTCTTTACTAATTTAAAAAAGAAAAACTTTGTTTTTTATAATTTAATTAATCTTGAAACTCAGCTTTTAACTAAAATAAATAAATATTAGTTTATTAATAATATATAATATTATTATATAATTATAAAATACTATTTATACTTATTTAATAAAGTAATTAATATTTAAAAATAAAGAATATAATATTATAATATTAATATATTTTCTCTAAATTTACTAAGTTTTATTAAAATTAGTTTATTAATTAAGTTACTTATTATTTATATTTTATTATTTATATTTTATTATTTATATTTTATTATTTATATTTTATTATTTATATTTTATTATTTATATTTTATTATTTATTTATATTTTATTATTTATATTTTATTATTTATATTTTATTATTTATATTTTATTATTTATATTTTATTATTTATATTTTATTATTTATATTTTATTACTTTCGAGTTATATAACTATATATATAACTTCTAATAATTATAGCTATAATAATATTAAAACCTTTTTAAAACGCGAAAAACAGAATTTCTTTTTAATTATATACTAGTTTTTTAACTCGGCTTAATACTAGACTTTTTAAATACTTTATATATTTATATATATTTTCTTATTTTATATTTATATTAATTAGATATTTAAAAGTATTTAATAACTTTAATTATATTATAAAATTAATAAAATTTAAATCTTTTTTAATTTATTTAATTTTAATTTATTATTATTTATATATTTAATGAAAATATATTATATTAATTATTATATGTTTTTCTCGAATAATATTTAATTTAATGAGATATTTATATAATAACTTATAATAAATCTATTTCTAGTACTTTATTAATTATAAATTTAATTAAAGCGCCTATATTAAAGCTATAAGCTATATTATATAGTTTTAAAGCTAGAATAGTTCTAATAACTCTCTTATATTTAGTAAATAACTAGTAAATAATATTAATATATTTCGTTTTATTTATTAAAACTAAAATATATTTAATTTAAAAAGAAAAATTTCTATTATTTATAAATAAAGCATTTATAAAAATAATTAAATATAAAGATTTTTTCTTTAGCTTTATAAATTATAATTCTTTAATAATATTTTTGATTTATTATTAAATATATTTATATTAGTTTTTAATAATTTAATAATTTAGTAATTTAAGTAATAATTAATAAATTATATAAATCTTTTAATTAATAAATTAATATAATATATATTTCTTTAATATATTAAATAATATATTAGTTTTTAATAAAGAGATTTCAATATATAATACTATTAAATTTTTTTTTAATTTAATATAATCTAATAAGGAAATAATATTATAAAAGTAAAAGCAAGAAAAATAATTTAATTATATTAATTAAAGAAAGAATAAGAGAAAAAGAGATCTCAGACTTTTATAAAGCTATAATATTACTAGTTTATATAATAGTATTATATTTATATATAATATTATATAATCTGTTTTCTTAATACTTCTTCTTAAAATATATTCTCTCGAATATATTAGTTTTATACTTCTGCCTTTCTAGCTTTTCTATTTCTGGTTATTTTTAGTATTTCCTTAAACCTCTTAAAAGCTATTATAAATAATAGTTTTATTATCTTATTAGTTACTATTTTAGCTATAGAAATATAGGTTATTTAGGCTTTTTATATCTTTATTAGGTCTCTAATAAAGTAGTAAATAATTATAAAAATAAAAGTTTTTAGCTAGAATAATTGCTTTTTAATTATCTTTTAATATATAAATCTTAGTTCTGTTTTTTCTAATATATTATAATTAGCCTAAATCCCTAAAAATCTATATAATTTATTACTTTTATTTTATATATATAGCAAGTATTATATATTTTAATTTATAGCTTAAAATAATTACTAATTACTATTTCTTACTTAATTATAAAATTAGCCTTTTATAAAATATTATAAAATATTCTTTAATACTCTTTTAATTGGATTTATTATTAGCCTAATTAGTATTCGAATAAAAAGTAAAATATTTAAGGTTTTTTTTAGAATTATAATAAATCTTTTAATTTAGTATAAATTAAAAATATTTTATTAAGTTTTTAAATATATATTTATAATACTTAACTAGATTACTTATAAATTATATTAATTTACTAAATATAAATATAATATTCGAATAAGTTAGTATTATTATAAATATAAGATATCTAATATTTTATTAATATTCTATAATATTAATTCTTTTATTTTCTAGAATAATTATTTATAATAACTTATAATTAGATATTAGAATAGATTTCTTCTTATAAAACTCTTATATAATTCTAAAATAATTAAGAACTATTATTAAATATTATTTTTAGTTAAGATAAATAATATAATTCTTTTTATTTCTAATAATTTTATAATTAAGAATCTTAAAGATCTTTTTTAGAAGCTTGGTCTTAAATTTATTAAATAATTAAATAAAGAACTAGTTTATATTTAATTTATTATTTATAATAGTAATAATATTATTAATATCTTAATTTATATATATATATAAATATAAGTTAGCTAAACTTTATATAAAACCCTAATTTTTTATTTCTTAATAAATTAATTAGTTCTAGTTTTAAATAACTTGCTTTAATTTATATAAGCTTTATAATATTTCAAGTATAAATTTATTCTTAATATTTATATCCTAAAAAGCTTTAAATAAATCTTTTTTTTTAAATATAATTTTATAGATATATTCTTAATATTAAACTAGTAATATTCTAGGTTTTCTTTAGTAATTATTACTAGAAAAAGTTAGAATATATTTATTCTTATTATTAAAGCAAATATCTAATTATAGTTTTTATTTTTAATTTATATAAATTTTTATATAACTAGTTTTATTTTATATTATTTGATTTCTTTATTAATAATAAGTTTAATATTAAAAACCTATTTATAATTAACTAAATTGGTTTTTTTTTTATAAAAAAAAGAACTTTTTTTCAAGAATTATTTTCTAATAACTAAATTATCTTATTTATAATTATCTATTTCTAGAATTTATTATATATGAAATTATTTACTACTTTTTTATAAAATATTAATATTAGAACTCTAGCTTTTACTTTTATTATAAGTATATAATTAAGAATCTCTTTTATTACTAGCTAGTTATTTAATAATATCTAGTTTTTATTTTAAAAATAAATAATTATAGCTCGAATAATCTTTATTAAATACTTATTTTTCTTAATATTTTCTTTTCTTTTTTATTTAAGATATTTAGAAAAGTATTAATAAGTTATATTTATATTTAATATAATACTTATATCTAGTTAATTAATTAATATATTTTCTAGAATATATGAAATAGAATTATTAGATTTAGTATTTATAACTAATAATTATATAATTGCCTTTTTATATATAAAGATTTAAAATATTAGTACTATTAAGATTTAATTTATATTATTAAAAATAGAAAATAGAATTAAATTATTTTATAATTTAATAATTAGTATTATACTTTACTACTTTACTAGTAAATTTAGTATTATATAATTATAATAATATATGCGGCTGAACTAGTATTTAAAATACCAAACTCTTATATTTAAGAGCTTCTCTCCTTAATTTAGAATCCTCGGAATTAAGCTATTTTGCCTTGCTTTCTAAGCCGAGAGACCCGGTCTCGTAATAATTAGCTATTTATAAGAATTAGAGTTTTACTTATTATTATTCTATTTTTTATAAGTAATTAATTTAGTATTATTATTTTTTATATTTGTTTTATAAAGCTTGAAATATTTATTAGATCTTAATATAATAAAATAACTATTTATATAATTAAATTTAGCTTTTTTATAAGTATTTTTATTAAAGAAATATCTTTCTTTAATTATCTAATTACTAGTTAATTTATTACTATATTTGGTATATTATATAAGCTATTTGAATCTTATAATTATAAGTTAATTATATTTCTTTTAATAAGTTTATTAACTTATTTATATTTTAGAAAATATATTTAAAAGTATTTTATAATTTCTTTCTTATATCTTATAAATATATTTATTTGCTTAGAATTAATAACCTTATTTTTATATTTATACTTATTTATAAGCTTCTTATTTTTATAAAAAAAAGTACTTATATTTCTATATTTAAATATAATTAATTCTTG